ATCCTCCGTGCTCGATCCGTCTCTGGATACCAGTGTTTTTGCTCTGCATTCAAAGGTACCCCAATATTTCCCTCTGATTTTTCCTTTTTTTTTTTTTTTTTACTATTTCTGAATTTCCTCAATTTTTGAATATTTTTATAGTTCATTTAGTTCGTGGGTTAGCTCAATTTTACTTCCTGGGGATTCTGTAGACTTGCGTGTGAGTTAATTGTAATGGGTTCTGCAAGATTGCTTTAGATTTCGGGCTCTGAAGGAACTATCTTTGCATAGTTTGTGAAGTTTTTTATTTGAATTTGAATTTTGCTATTTAGGGAAGTTGAAAATTTTGATTGGTAGGTGGGGTTTTTTTTGTCAATTGCTTGTACTCTATATAATTTTCTCATGTTGATGGTGTAAAATGGCTTCTGATTGATTGTTTTGAGAAACTGGTACTAAATTTCAAAAATTATACTGGCAAGAACAACCTTTTCTTTTTGCCCTTTCGGTACGAATTCTGTTAGTTTTTCTTTTCCCTTTCAAAATTGTATGTAGTATGTTTCGCTTGTAGCTTACAGTTGTTTTGAACTATGTGCATAGAAGCACCAGGTCAGTTTCCGGTGACGGTTTTAGATTCAGTAGGCCTAGACCGATGGGCAAGATTCTAATTTATGCTTAACATTATTTTGTTTGCTTCATATTTGACTTAAAATTTAGTGTCATATGCTCCATTATCTAATTATAATTTTTAACTTTAATGTGTAAATCATTCAAGTCAGTTGGTGGACGTATGAGGTGATTTTAGTACATTTAGATGTACACGTTTGCAATGAAGTCCTGACAAGATTAGTTTAATCGTTTGGATGAATAGGGTTTTGGCAATTGGGTCCTGGAAATGTCACAACGGACACTAAAATGAGCCAGATTGAAGTATCGGCGATGAAATCTCCTCTCATCCCACTTGCGACTCTGATTGGTCAGGAGCTTAGGGGTGAAGAAGTTGAGAAACCTTATTTGAAGTATGGCCAGGCTGGTTTGGCGAAGAAAGGAGAAGATTACTTTCTTATAAAAACTGACTGCCAAAGAATTCATTCGGATCCGTCAACAACATTTTCTGTCTTTGCGGTACTTTCCTCCCTTTATTTTCTTTCTTTGTACCTATATAAAGAAAAGGAAAAGAATTTGAGAGTCATTAAAAGTGTAAAGATTACCTTGAGTGAATTTGATAGTTGCATTTGTGTCCGGTTAAGTGTAACTTTGTTTTTTCTCAGGTTTGAAACGGTGTGATAAAAGAGCAATCACTGTTTAGTAACTTTTCTTCTTTTCATACATTTGTCAGCACCGATAGAGCATCACTTCATTCCCTCACTCTTTCTGATACAAATTTGAAATTATTGTCTGCAGATTTTTGATGGGCATAACGGTATATCAGCTGCTATTTTTACAAAGGAGAATTTATTGGCTAATGTTTTGAGTGCCATTCCGCAAGGAATCAGTAGGCATGAATGGCTGCTTGCCCTTCCTCGGGCGCTGGTTGCAGGATTTGTCAAAACTGATATAGAATTTCAGCAGAAAGGTATACATCAAGCCGTTTGAATTTCCAATAATTATTTATTTCATTTGCTTGATTTTGCTTATCTTAGCATTCTGATTTAATATCAACCTCAGGGGAAACTTCTGGTACAACGGTGACTTTTGTTGTGATCGATGGTTGGACTGTGACTGCTGCATCTGTTGGGGATTCTCGATGCATATTGGACACCCAGGGAGGTGTTGTTTCACTCTTGACTGTTGATCACAGGCTGGAAGAAAATGAAGAAGAGAGGGAGCGAGTTACTGCCAGTGGGGGTGAAGTAGGAAGGCTAAATGTTTTTGGGGGCAATGAGGTATATCCTGGTTTATTCTGTTCTTCATCCTTCTGCCTTGTAAACGGAAAGGCATTTCAATTTTCAATGGAACAACATTTGTTTGATGGTTGTAAATTTCTTATGTTTACGTGGTTCATAGGTTGGTCCCCTCCGCTGCTGGCCTGGTGGATTGTGCCTTTCTAGGTCAATTGGTGACACAGATGTGGGAGAATACATTGTCCCAATACCACATGTCAAGCAAGTGAAGGTAAATTCATCTTGTGCTATAACCAATGGTTCTATTTACTATTCTCTTACAATTTAATTTTCAACTTATTTTTTCCCTGGTTATGTAGCTTTCAAATGCTGGGGGAAGACTTATAATAGCTTCTGATGGCATCTGGGATGCTTTGTCTTCCGATATGGCGGCAAAGTCATGTCGAGGATTGCCTGCAGAGCTTGCTGCAAAGATGGTCGTTAAGGTGATGCGCCTATAATGCAAACATTACCTTAAGCCCAAGAGAACAAGTCTGATTTTACTGATCTAGTCCTGCTTTTCTTTGTTCTGTTTCAGGAGGCTCTGAGGTCAAGGGGACTGAAAGATGATACAACCTGCGTAGTTGTTGACATAATCCCTTCGGGTCATCCTGTCTTACCTCCAACACCGATGAAGAAACCAAACATGCTTGCTTCACTTATCTTTGGGAAGAAAAGTCAGAATTCTGTGAACAAAACAAATAAGCTTTCTGCTATCGGAGTTGTAGAAGAGTTGTTTGAAGAAGGTTCAGCAATGCTTGATGAAAGGTCAGTTCAGCATGGTTTATTATCTAATTGCTAATCATAAGATTGTATTTCTAGTTTGAGTAGAACCCTAATTTCTTTCCTTTCTCGATGGAAATACAGGTTGGGGAAGGATTCTCCTGTGGATGCAAATTCTGGGATTTTCCGATGCGCAGTCTGCCAAGTGGATCAGCCCCCAGTAGAAGGTTTATCGGTAAACTCTGGGTCTTTCTTCTCCCCAGCATCAAAGCCATGGGAAGGCCCCTTCCTCTGCGCAAAGTGTCAGACCAAGAAAGACGCCATGGAAGGGAAAAGACTAACCAGACCTACTGTGGTCTTGTAGTAATTTACCCGATTACGTATCCTAAATTGCATCTTTCTTATCTGGCAGTGTGAGCATATACTTGGTTTTCCTTTTTCAGGTGGTGACTATTTATAGATGTGTGTAAGAAATGAAGTTGAGATATGCAGAGTAAAGTAGGTGTTTTGCAGTTTGAGTTTGTGTCGATTCTGGTTTGTGCTCTCGGCTGTTTGACTGACTCACAGAGGGTTCAAGTGTTCTCATCGCTAACAGCGTTAATTTGTAAGTAAATCGAAGATTTGTGTAATCGTTGTGTTAGAACGAATCTAACTGTGTGTTGTTCTCCATACTCATTGTGTTAGCACAAATGAATATATAATCGATAGGCAAATTTTTTTAGCAATTGTCTGCAAATGCTGCTTAGATTTTGCCTTGCCACTTTACTATGATTCTTTTTTGTAACGGGGTTGACAGAGTATTACATAATTCATTCTTTATTTATTTCTTATAAGATTAGAGCCGTCTTTAATTACCTGATTGTGTATTGCTCCAAATGTGCTTAATTGGAGAACAACTTGCATGAAACGAAATCATCATGTCTGTAGTGTCCCGGTCCATTTAAATCCCTCTCGTTTAATTGGTGTTTTGAAATACAAGAGTAAGATTTATAAGCACCACCTTATTCGTACTGGACATTGTTGCGATGTTAAAATTGACGAAACTCTGTTTAGGGACTCACTTGAATTTTTGTTATCGATTTTTTTTTGGGACTTAAAATTTAGATTAAAAACACTTATTGGACTCGATAAATGGTAACCCTGCTTCGAAATGGCTTGTAACAACTTCCTTACTGTGCAAGCTAAAGGTCTTGCAAAAACTCTACACATTAAGCTCCTTTACAATGTTATTGCGAAATGCTAAAAACAAAAAATTTAAATCCAATTTTTGTAGAATTTTCTCCACACCATAAGCTTCTTAAAATACTTTCAGGATGTTTTTAAGATGTTTTAACGTACAAAACTCCGTTCTGACGGAGAGTTCCTTCTCCCCTTGTGAGAGCTTGTTTTCAACTGCTTTCTCCCTCTTCCGTCGCCGGCCCTGGCTGTGTCCAGGGTCGGTGGCTGTCTCCTGTTTCTCTTTTTCTTCTTTTATTTTCTGCATGATCGTTGGCCTGCGTTGTCCCCGTTGTTTCGGCCCAATCTACCTGCACTCCTAGCTCTAATCCCCTCTTCTTCCAATCTCAGTTTCCCCTTCACATCCTTATTTCTCTTCCTTCACCATCCTATCCATCAAACCTTGCTTTGTCCTTCCTCTATCTCACTCAATTTGGGCTTTGCAGACCATTTTTCCTCACGCGACTTGTCACAACCTCTCGGAAGGTGCGTACAGCTCCGGCTTCGGTGGAAACACCACCACCTTCCATGTGCATGCCTTTATTGGCATCGTTACTGGTGGGATCTCCTTCCTTTGGTTTCCTTTAAAATGTTGCTCTAACCACAATATATGGCTTAGATCTATTTGGTGCTTGATGGAGGCAGGTTGGAGCTCTCTTTTCCACCACTTATGGGACATCGGTTGGCTGGATCTCTGGTATTTGCTGGGGATGGAGGTGCACGATGATGAATTCTGATCGATGCCGATCGTGGAGCAGGCTGCTTTGGCTTAATTAGTTAGTAGTCATATACTATATTTTACTCTAGGGTTAAGAGTCTACGACTCTTTTTTTCTTATTATACAGTGACATAATGAAACGGCACTATGAAATAGTGCTTAAATCATTCTTCAAATATTCCAGCCAGTTCTCCTTAGAATATTCCAGCTAGTCCTCCTTCAAATATGTCGGCTAATCCTCTTTCAAATATTCCGAGTAGTCCTACTTTGAATATTCCTGATATTCTTTCTTCAAGTATACCGGGTAGTTCCTAACAGAATGAGGTCACTGAGTTTACATAGAGAAAGATGTATTTATTTTTTATTGATAATGAGCATATTATGCGACGTTTTTATGATATGAAACCTCGCTGGCAACAATTGTAATTTGTTTGTATTGATAAATTATGAAAGATACTATATAAAAGGATTTGATTGTTGCCATTTTTTTGAACCTTACACTCTTAAGTTCGCCTCTCCCCTCGATAGTTCTTGGCTTCGCCACTACTCTTACATTTCCCTTACCAAAGCAACACATGACAAATTTAAACATGAAACCTTGCATGAAAGCAACTACGAACAAGAGAAACGTCTTTCTAGAAAACAACATCATTTGGGAGTAAATTAGAACATCACGATGGACTCAGTTAGGAGGCATCCACTGCAGCTCAATGCCATAGTTCCATTTATCAGCAGGATCTTGGGGTTGAATATCGACCACAGAAGTATAAGCAGTGCACCCTCCAACCCTAACCCTAATCATGTACGACGTCATGTGCGAGTCTTTCAAGTAATGGCAGCACAGCCTGCTTTTGCATGCATTATTCCTCCCCTCCAACATTTTACCCTCAAAAACCCTACAGAGACTGTTTGAGGAACAGTTGAGAGGCGATCGGAGAAGATTGTCCGAGCAGTTGAGCAGTATGACGGTGTTCCGGGTAGACACGTTGAAGGGCAAGTTTTCGTCAAGTCTCAGACCTTCTGAAGAGAAATCAGTAGTGCGACACATGTCGTCATCCTGTACGAGATCAGGTGGTTTTATGATGAGCTTCTGAGCAGCTAGGTCAATGCTTAGGACCTTGTAGCTGAAGCCTTCAGCTGACTGGAACTCAAGAACTCCATTGTTGTTGCAGTAGAGTTTATACCTTGAGTCCCCGCACGTGTCGTCTGTGCTAAAAGGGTATGGAACTTCCATGTTGCCACATTTAGGGCAAGCACCAAGAGTTGAAACATGGAATGTTTTGATGGTGATCACGAGGCTCACGACCATGAACACAAAAGATTTCAAAGCCATTGTAGAAGTGAGAGGATGCAAGAAATGCTGAGAACTGAATGTCTATTTATAGGGTTTAGCATCACAGGGACCAATTATTTGAGAAATTCCAAGGTACTCTCTCAAAAGTAGGACTCTCTGTAAACTCTCTGTTATCTCGTACTTTTGACACAATATTTATAATGTTGGCACGGAAATTAACCTTAAACTGTGAAATGGTAGAGAGTTCACTGGACTTGGCGCTTCTATAATTAGTTTATCAATATGGGATCTTAAAATATCCGCACCTATTTATGTGATTAGCACTAGTAGAATCTCGGCATATGTGAGTTACGCTAGTTGGCAAAAGTCATTTTTTCTGTTTCTTTGTATCCTAAATTCCTAATTCGACTTCCTTTTTCCTTTCTTTTTGTAAACAACGATATTAGTAGTGTGAAGAATTGCCTAATGCTAAACAACACAACAGGTCAATCATTATTAGGTATTGAACACGCCATTTATGGCAATCAAACTAAAACCGAAACCTCCCAATTAAAAGTCACGAGCAATACCACATAGGTAGTGCCATTGGCTTCCTTTCCTTAAATTCTAGTTAAACGTCACTTTGCCAAAAATAAAAAATACATTGTATCATCAATTATATGGGTGTGAAAGTAACGTCCTCATTGAAACTGAATAATGGTTAAGGTGGTGTGCCAACAGCTGTCAGTGTATTAGGAATTTGATGAAGAGATTAAGAAATGGGTTTGAATAATCAAATCCTAATTACCAAAAGCATTGATACTTTATAAGGCTTGGCACCCATGAAGGGTGAAGCTAATTAGCTGATTTCAACCATTGGTTTGTCATATATGATATTGGATCTAGAATTTTCCTCCACCATGCCCCTGCTTTCCCATTCTTTAAAATTTATAAACCAGAGGAAATAGCAAGTGGCAACTAATTTGGAAAGGAAACAAGAGAGAAAGCAAAGGTTAAGATCAATTAGGTTAATCGATCTTCAAAGATCAACTAAAACGTCCCCATTTTAAAATAGATTTCGAGTCTGAATTCACATTCTCGTCCCATTTGTGAGAGTACTTTCACATCTCTCTCTAGATATCTTTAGAGAGAGAGATCCCTTGCCCGACTGTGCGTTATATGTGCTCTACAGGCCGCACTCCATCTTTCGTTCAAATTCGAATCCATCTTTCTACGATTTAAATTAATTTAATGTGGACTATCGTTTTGTCAATACGTTTGAAGGACGTTTGGGTTAAGATGATAGGCAGACTAATATTTAGATCATACTAGTGCTTAATACCCGCGGGTTTGAAGTTAAGATAAGATGTCAAAAATGAAAAAAATTCGGTTACAAAATAGGAACAAGGATAACAACAATGAATTTGGAAAAGCGTTAACTGGAAATGGTTAAATTTAGATAATATGACAAATTATAGTTATCCATTATATTGTAGCAGTTCTATGTATTTCTGGACCAGGAGGATTACATTCAGTTACAAAAAATAGAAATCTTGGTATAAAGATACAAAAAACATTATAATAACTAAATTTCTTCTAATAACCCCATCTAATATACTATGTTCCAGCTTTTGCATACAAAAAATGAGGAGATGCTGTTGTATGGGGATGCAAAAAATATTGTTGAGTTTTGGGCAAAAAAAGATATGTACAGGTTTTTACACGTGTTAAACATGATTTAATATAGATAAACAAAACACGGTAAACATTCTTGATCAGAGTAGTGAAAGGTGTCTTCAGCCCTTGTTGTCATTGATAAAGCAACCTGAACAACGAGGAATAGGGCATAACATATTTAGATAGGATTTAGTATCACATTTAAATGGTAATGGAAGAAAAGATAAAACAACTTGAAAGCATACTAACCAAATCATTATTTCTAGTGCTGATGTGTGGCTTTGCCTGAGTAGGAGGTGATTTTTTTTTTAATAACTTGATCGGAACCTCATCACATTCTCTTGGATCAACTTCTGAAATTTCTTCAGATTCACTGAGTTGAATGATTATGCAACATTAATATAGTTTTTCATAGAAAGAAGAAAATATGGTTCCTAGTTATAATTCATAGTATTGAAAATGTTTAATATGTAAATTTTAAGAAAGTTGAAGTGACCACATGGAAATTTTTTACAACATGATGTAAAAATATAAACATAATATTTGAGAATAGTATGAAATTAGATATCAAACCCTTGTTCGCCAGGAATGAAAAACGCTATTCTCACAGATTCTCTTTTTCGTTTATAAGATTGATCACTTGGTTCAGGTGTTGAGAACGATTCAAAAACAAAAGAAAATGACTGGCAAGAGCGGGAGAAGCAAACAAAGACAACGAAGAAAGCAAACAACTGCCAAAAGCGGGAGAAGCAAAGAAAAACAACAAAGAAAAATTGAAAAGAATATGGAAGAAAGAAGAACAAAAGTAGAGATACTACCTTGTGGTGATGACTGACACGTGGGCTGGTATCAATTTTTATTGTTTGTTATGCCACAAATCATGTGGCCCGGTTTTAATCACATTTTTTAAATATTTTTTTGTCTTCCCATCAGATAAACATGGGTTTAAAAAGTTAAGAAGGTATAAAAATTTTATTGTTTGTTATCACAGAAAAATTTAAAAAAATGTACAATGATAAATTATACATATACTAAAATTCAGTTCAGTAGCACAATAAAGAACAAAGAAAAAGGCACTTATTATAAATCACCTGCTTTGCTTATGTTTGAGCAGCTCTGGGAATCGATGGTTTTCATATCCTGCAAATTCAGACTCTTAACTTCGTGAGCTTTATATACGGCTGTAATTTATCGATAGGAGTTGGAGTTATATTTTTCATTTACCCTAGTCAAACAAAGCATAAATTTTTTAATTTCTCTTTCGTTCTTTATTTATTATTTCCTATTTTCTCTACTATAATTTAAACATCAAATTCATCCAAAAACAGAATTTTTTAATAATTATTTCCTATTTTCTGTGCTCTAAATTAAACACCAAATTTACCCAAGAACAGAAAATAAGCAAAAGTAAGTGGAAGAAAAAAGAAAAAGAAAAGAAGAACAACATACCTGAAGTAGAACCAGCATGAAAATGACAGCATAACACTTGGGAAAAACGAAAAAAAGACGAAGCACCGTTTGCTAAAACGCGAAAGAAAGAAGCATAAAAAGCAAAGGAAAAATTAAGGAAAGAAAGAGATAAAAATGAAAGATAAAGAGAGAAGCCCTCTTAGCAGAAAATCCCCCGATGATCAACACGTGGAAGACAAAAAGCAGAGCAAAACCAAAAAATAAAATAACGAAAGGCAAGGTGGAAGACATCGGGGCTTCTCACAATTTTTAATATTTGGTTTCCATACAGTCAAAATTTTTTATAATTTTTTATTGTGTTATGTGCCACAAACCTGGATTAACTCATTTTTTAAAATATTTGTTGTCAGTTTTTTTATTATTATTTTATCTTTCTTTGTGCCTACACTCTGCATTCAAATGTTTTTATAATATTTTATTGTGTTCCGTGCCACCTATTGCAGGTGACTCGGCATGAAAGAAAAAAGCCGAGCAAAATCAAAAAATAAAATAATCAAAAGGCAAAGCAATGGGGACAGGTGGGTTTCTCACAATTTTTAATAATTATTTTGTCCACGCATTCAATGTTTTTATAATTTTTTATTGTGTTGTGCGCCACAAACCATGTGGTCTGATTTAAGTCATATTTTTTAAATAATTTTTTGTCAATTTTTTAATTAATTATTTTATCTTTCTTTGTACCACAATTCGACGATCATAGACACGCAATTTGGGAGGACAAAGGATGATGAACATGTGGCAATCATGGGCAATACATGTATTTTATTGTGTGAAGCAGGCAGCAAAATGGTAATGGACCGAAAAAATCAGGGGCATTTCCGCCCTTTTACTATTGTTGAACAGTGCTAAAACTCAACTAAGTTTTATTATATATAATTTGCAGAATATATGATTTTTTCACCAATAAAAAATAAGTATGTGTTGATTAATAACCTAATCATCAACCAGATCATATAGTTTACAAATTATTGTTTGAATTAATAATCTCTTTAGCATTAGAGAAATTTTGCAGTTGCCTGATACACTGGTTGTACACCACATGCCATTATATAATTGGAAGGAAGTTTTATTTTCAAGTGTCTCTCCACTTGTATAATGACACGTGATGTATCATCTCGTGTTACAAACACTTTGGCAAATCACCAATCAATCAAAGTCACACCAGTCCTAGTCCTACTTTCCAATTTCCAAGGAAGTTTTTTGGTTTTTTTTTTTTCGAGAAATGCTAATAAGACTTTCTCAAATATGAAACTATTTGTCACCTTATATTTGTAGCACAATTTTTATGCTAACATTATAAATTATTATGCCAATATAGTAAAGTGGCAGAGAGTTGAGAATCACTTAAGAAAGTCCTTTAGGCCATCTCTAACCGAAGAGTCCAGAGGGCCAGAGTGTCAAAAATAGCCCGAAAACCGTCTCCAACCGAGGGTTAGGCCAAAGGGCTTGTGGAATCTGAGAGGGCCCCACATAATCTGAAAAGGCTGGAGGGTTGGCCAAAAAACTGATTAATCCTGTCGGTTATAACCGACAAGAATTCTTAAAAAGAATTTTGAATCCAATGGCTAGTTTTTTTTTTTTTTTTTTGTTTTTTTGTTTTTTTAGGGAGAATTGTCAAACAAATGACGGTGTTTGGACTCGTGTGTCCAAAAAATACTTAGAGTTCTATGAAGCTACCACTCTAGTGAATATTCGAAACCACGAGAGTTGTTCTTCAAGATGGAAGAAACATCTTCAATTAAGTTTGAACAAATGGCATCAAGCATTGTTAGCAGCTGCAAGTAGGCATGAAAGGGGCGCTAATTATTACGACGAAGTAAGTGTTTTCACAATTTATTTAAAATATTTAATTATATTACATTTAATTTCATAAATTAATTTCCTTTAATGTTTTTCTAGGTACGCCAAGCGGAGGAATTGTATATGAACAGTAGCTCGAAACCCTTTTAGTTTCACAGTTGTTGGGAAATTTGTAAAGGGTGGGTGTTATTTGAAGATCCACCACAGAGAGCTTCTACGCCGGTGTTCGGAACTGCATCCTCAACTGCAGATATGGATGAAGATGGATCTCCAACCATTCAACAAACAAGGGTAGAAAATCCGTCTTTGGGTGAAGGTTCCATACCTAGGACTATGGAACGAAACAAGGTGCGAAGGTTGAAGGAAAAGAGCAAGACAAATGATGATTACGCCGCTCAACATGAAGTGGTGGCCTCATTGCAATTATTGGCGGAGCAAAATGCCCTTGAGGCGGAAGAAATGAAGTGTAGGCATGAAGAACGGGCTAAACAAATACAATACAAGAAGAGATGGATAGTAAGAATATGGAAAGGAATACTTTGAATTACACTTCAATGAGCAAAGTCTATTTTGATAGGGAAAAAAAAAAAGAAATTATGAGCCAACAACAATTGTTTACCTCTGACTATACTTCTACGCTGGCGGATGATGGAGATGATGTTGATTATGGATATTAAATTTAAGTTGTTGTAGTTTTTAAATTTAAATTAATGTTGTTTTCGAATTTAATTTGTAGTTTTTAAATTTAATTTGTCGTTTTTAATTTTAGTTGTAGTTTTTAAATATAAGTTGTAGTTTTTAAATTTAAGTTGTTGTAATTTTTAAATTTAAATAATAAATTATGTTTTGCCCTATGGCCCTTGGTTGGAGACGGTTTTTTGTGACATGGCTAAAACGAGCTCTCTGGCCCTTTGGCATCGATTGGAGGCGGAGGCAAATATGGCCCTATACTATTCATTAAAATATTAATATCCTGGAGGGCTAGATGGCTAAAACAAGCCCTCTGGCCAGCCCTCAGTTGGAGATGACCTTACAATTTCTCTTCTTATTCCTTTTGAGGGGCACTGAGGCACCCATTTCCTAAAATTTTGGCCCTCTACCCAGCCCTCGGTTGGAGATGATCTTACAATTTCTCTTCTTTTTCCTTTTAAGGGGTAGTGGGGCACCCATTTCCTAAAGTGGCCTCCAAAAAGCAACATACACTTTGGGATCAAGCAAAAGACAAACTTACAAACACATTGGAAAATCACCAATCAATCAAAAACACGTTTTGGTTTCTTTTTTGAGAAGTGCTAATGAAACTTTCTCAAATGTGAAACTCTCTATCATCTTATATTTTTAGCATAATTTTCATACTAACATTATAAATTATTGTGTTAAGATAGTGAAGTGACAGAGAGTCTAAAAATACACTTAAGAGAGTATCCTCAGCATTTCTCCTTTTATTTTTGGGAGTTTTAACGAAAAAATCCGCGGTACTGTTCACTTTAACAAAAAATCATATTTTTACACTAAAAAATCAAATCTGATACTATTCACTTTACCCTTTATTTTGTCGTTAAAACTCAAAGTTTTCAATCTTTTTTTATTAATTTTCCTCTTCTTTTTTTTTTTTTCCTTTGATGGGCAGTGGGTCACCCATTTCCTAAAGTGGCCTCCATAAAGCAACATACACTTTGGGATCAAGCAAAAGGACAAAGTTCCAATTGTACAATTTAAGAACTGTAAATTTAAAACATTAGGCCACGACTCCTTAGTACTCATATTTTTGAGTTAAATAAATAAATTAAAATTAAAATCAATATAGATAAACAAATTATGTGCAAAAGAAGAAAAGTAGTGCAATCATGTGTAAATACTAGATTGTTGACATGTGTAAAATCTACTGAAAATTGTATCTTATATTGTAAGGAATCAAACTAATAATAACTCGTTTTTTGAAAGAATAAGTGGTTTATACATGGACCCGATAAACCATCCACAAACAACTTTTGTTAATTAAATTTCTAATCTTTAAACTTGAAATTTTGAGTTTAATTCTTTCAGGTTCACTTGTATAAAACATATAATTTAAAGGTGTGTATAACTAGGTTATGACGAGAACAAGGATAGGCAAAGTATATGGAAACAAATGGTTTTTTTGTTTTCATTTTTTGAATCCATATAGTTAGACGGTAGGCCTGTTTAAAAGTGCTTTTAAATAACAAGCATGTCCATTTCATCAAAAATACTTCTCACAATATTTAGCTGACAAAGTTAAAAAGTCTTTTTGAGTTGCAAAGAACCCTTGAAGTGCGTTCTGAAAGAAACACATGCTCAAGAAGCACATAACAGGAAAAACTGAGTAGAAGTGCTTTTTTATTAAGAACACAGTTGTGCTTCTAATAGGCGCTTTTATGTAGAAGTGCTTTCTAGAGAAGCATTTCGAACCAGGCCCTAAAATAGTTCAAGGAACAATACATAACTTCATTAATGGGATTTAAGAACATTAAAAGTCTTTACAAGATCTCAATCGTTAAGAACGCTCCGTTCTGCGAACGAGAGGAAAGGATAAATGGCTTCACTCACTGGAGTAAGAAAGCAATGAAGAGCAGACTAATAAACTGAGTGATATATCAACACATCAGAAGAACGAAACCCCATCAATTTTTCTTTCCCGGGTTACAACCAGACTAGACACGCAAATATAACATGTGTTTCCTACAAAAGTGGCTTGAGCTAGGTTTCGTTTCCAAGTTGGAGTTTTCCCTAGTGTGCCAATCAATTTTTCCGTTAGCTAAAGCAAATCTTCTCCTGCAAGTAATCGATGAGCACGTTGATCAAAAATCAATGTCAAAAGATGGAATGGTGTAACTCAAATACCTACGGTGGTTGGTCTGAAAAACTTCAGCGGAAGCACATAAGTAACAATGATTACACGTAATTTAAGTATCCAACCAGAGTCTCAACTCGGGATAGCACAGGAGTACATTACTGTTTACTAGTTGGGCATGACATCGGTTTAGACGTTAAAATAAGTAAAGGAACTTACGCAGATCATCCAAGGATATACTGCTGATGCTTTCTCCGGTCTTTATAAGACGAAGCTTCCCTGTAAGATGTATATCACACTATTAAGAAATTTCACACTGCCAATATGGAAGGAGAACAAATGAATAATATAGCATCTACGGAATCAGCCTATATATCAGGCTACATGAATATGTTTTCGATTTCTACACTTGTTTATGAAAGATTGGAGGGATGGGGTAGACCTTTCAACTATCTATGGAATCAGCCTAAATATCGATGTTGATCCTTACGATCTTATTTGCCATATCAGCATTTTCTATTGATGCAGAACACGACCAAAAAATATGAATCCTCATGGCCATGTTTATTCATCTGTTAATGAAAGCTTAAACTCAATGAATTTCGGGCATCAACAATATCCCATCTAAGATTACTATATCCCTTCAAGTTATCGTCGCAACAAATGTTTGAATACATAGCAAAAGTATACATATGAAACGCAATTCAATCCAAAAGAACTGCAGAGCAAAGAAAACCGAACTAAAAAAATAACATTTAGTAAAATAAATGGAAAAGAAAATGTTGGTTTTTATACCATCGTGACGAATACATATCTCTGGAATATGTTTCACTTCACCATTGATGCTGTCATTGTAAACTCTAGTTTCAATGTCACCCTCGACATAAATTGATGCACTGCAGAAAACCTCCAATCATTAGAGACACAACATATAAGGACATTCATTCATATTAAAAAATGGACACATACTTCTTAACCAATTGTTTAACCGCATAAGCCCCAAGTGCATCATTATGCACAGCAATTCGATGCCATTGAGCAGGTCTTGGCAAGTCCTTTGCTCCCATTACCCTTTGGTCGAACATGCCTCCCGTCCCAACCGTGAAGATGGTTACAGTTCGACCATTCCTCAAGATCTTTTGCACAGGGGCTTGCCCAACTTTTCCACAGATAATTGCCTATATAAATTCAGCAGAGCCTAGCATAAACATATGAAGAACATATTCCTAAACTTTTTGATTGCTCATATAAAAACTAAAGCAAAACTACTATCTGAATCTTTATGCTGTTTCTGTTTCTTAGCATCCCCAATGACATATAATTTTTTTCCGTGAGACGTTAAAGATCTTTTACAAGTTATAACATAATGCACTCAAATTTGTAAACTTCTAAGTAAATCTATATGCAAACGACAGCTCGTTAACATGCACATGAGTAACAATTACGTTTTTGTTTTCTACTGAAACGACATATGAAATACCTTGTGCACACCACGAAATCCCCATCCCCTCCTGGGATCAACACCTTGGGGTTGCAAATTCACATCTTTCTTCGCACCAATAAAGTCATCAAAATCATCTTCTGCCACATTGTTCTTTGTGTCATCGTTGCCAATGTCAGAATCAGACGGGGTGCTCGAGAACCACAACTTTGAGCTTCTTTGCACACCCACTGCTGTAATAATGGTCAAAAACCAACATAAACACCAATTAATCCACCTAAAACAGTCATTCTTCACTATTCGAGAAAATTGTTCTTCGAAAAACATGTAATCATGCCGAATTTTATGCAACATGTTATTGAAAATGCTTTTCTGGACTAAACCCATCTCTGGAAACATAAGATAGAAAACAATACAGCAAATGAACCAACAAGATCATCAAATTTTGCAGAAACTTGCATTGGGGAAAATTATCTTCCATTTAGAAGGGGTTTGAACCCAACCCATTAACAAAAATAAAAACTTTAAGCAAATACCAAATAAGAAATCAGTAATGAGCAACAAAATAATAATATTTTGGGAGAGAGAGAGAGAGAGAGAGAACCAAGTGAGGATGTAGGCGAGGAAGGAACGGAGACCCTCAAAAACTTGACGAATCTGGCAGCGACTGAACTCATTTTCTCTGCTGAAAAACTCAGTCAGTGCAGGGAAATCGAATTGGGAAGGAGTGTGGACTGCGGCGGGTTCAAGGAGGGTTTAGGTGTCAGGAGGCGAGACCGAGCGGGGTAGACGCGAGCTAAACGAGCCTCCTTAATAATAAATAAAAATAAAAATAAATGTTCTTAATCCCAAATTTACTCCAATTTTATTTTTATCGTAAGTATAATTTAATGGCCCGAAAAATTAATAATTTCATCTAACATATAGAGATTTGATTAGTCTTTACAAACTATTAAATCTTTGCAGGAAATTCATACAACAAAGTGAAACATAGCATTGTCGCGGGACTTAATTTACACACAATTGTATCTTTTTTGGGTTTTGTAGCTAGAGTGGCTTAAGAGCACACCGTTTCTGTAAGTTGATAACTTGACATTCACAACATCGAAAAGTTGTTGAAAAGTTGGCGACGAAGAACAATGGGAAACCACCATCGAGAGAAGCAAGCTTTGTGAGAATCTAAATACGCATGGTGAGAACAAAATCAACTTCCAAGTCTGAATTTTCAAGATAACAACGAGCATTCGACCGAGAAGAGAGCATTCAAATTCGACGGAGAAGAGGCTCGTAAGTTGGCAACGAAACAGGCAAAAAGAGAATTTAACTTAACGCAAAGGTTATATCCACTCTAGTTTATCTAGTACTTCAATTTAAATGACCACTTCTTAGTCCAAACCCGGAGCACTCCCAGCTTAAACAAAATCAAAATGCCCCGGGATCAAGAAATGAGAGACCAAAACTCCGCATAATCAGCGGGTTGGACCCCTGGATGAAGACCACTTTGCGCCACTGCTACCAAGGGTGGGTCTGCGCTCATCGCTGCCGCTGCGCCAACTACCACTTGAAGGTGGTAGGCGGTCATCTGGCCTGCTTCCCCTTCGGTCAGGCTCTGGAGGAGCCTGCCCGGGTGCCTCAGCTCCCCTTTGTCGAAGGTGTCTGGGTACATATTTCCCAGGAGCAGGTGCAGCAGCAGCAGCAGCAGCAGGAGGAGCAATAGCGGGCTCCGCACGTGGCTCAACAGGCCTAGGAACCTCAGCTGGTTTCCCAAAAAGTGCTTCTTTCCTTAGCCTTTCTTTTTCTTCCAGTTCCCTCTCTCTTTGCCTCTGTTTTTCAGCTATGTCATCCAGTTTGGCCTTGCGCTCCGCCTCCTCCTTTCTTTTCCTCTCAGCTTCTGCATGGTTCAAAGCAGCAAAGATGGATGCACATCAGAAGACAACACTAACAAGACATAACAACCGCAAGAGCCATCATAGAAAGTAAAGTTACTCAACAATGTTTCCCTAAATTGCCGAGAAACAGCCAGAGGAATCAGAAACAGTAAAGCAGTAAATAGTCAGGGAGGACAACTACCTTCACGTTTGCGCGCTTCCTCTTCTTCACGAAGCTTCCTCAGTCTCTCCTCTTCAGACCGCACGAAGAATATCTTCTTTCTCTTGGCATCCCTCTCTTGCTTCCTGGCCCAAATCAGTTGGCTAATCTGTTCCTCTCTCTCTGCCCTCCTCCTCTCGTATTCTTCATGCCTACGATGCAACACCCTTTCCTGGAAGATAGTCTGCCAAAAAGAAAAAATACTCACAATAATTTTGTTTATAGCAAAAGAAATTTTTGTGCATGCATACATTATCTCTCTCCCCAGGATTAGAGCATGCACATTTTTTAGGGCAGTATATATAATCTAGACATATCCATCTATGTTAAAAATGAAGATCAGAAGTGTAACTCCTTTTCTGAGCAATCCTCCATAGTTAAGCCACATAAAACTGCAAACTCACCTTATTGTCCATCATCCGTGACAGCCTATTCTTCTCCTTCAGATCTCCTTCATGGCGCTGTTGGCTCAGCTCAACTTCCAGCTGTTAAAGCAAAATATTGAATTACGGTTAGCATACAAGGCAGAGAGACAAAATAAAAACGAATTTTAAGAAAAAGAAATGATAATGCAGTCATTCAAATGGCCAAAATCAGCAGAAAACAAAAGGAAGAAACCGCAGGCCATGGCCAACATTGCGGAAAGTTGCAGTTTAAAGTGAAAACTGAACTTTAAGACAAGAGTACTATATAATGGATATATTTAGTTGGTAAGCTAAATACAAACAAACATGCAACCATAATACATACCGTTTGTTCGCGCTCATGAAGCAACTGCTCTTCAACTAAACGTTGTTGATATGCAGCTTCAATTAGAGGAGCAGACTCTTCTCTTTTTGCTCTTTCCAAATAGTCCATTGTTTTCCCAAGTTTTAGTAACTTCTTCTCCATTTCTTGCCTCTCCCTGAGCTGTTCGCTCAGGGCCAACTCCATTAAAGTTGCCTTGGTCACCTTTTCCTGTACACAAATAATATAGATAAAGATCGGGTCTTCCATCTAAACCATAATTCATGAGAAAACCTTCACTTACTCCATCCAAAATGTGTTTCTTTCCTTTCTTTTTACTGCGTACTTCGTGAAGGAGCTTCTGTGCTTCATCAATTTCTTTCTCCTCTATTTCCTTTAGGATCCTTTGATTCTTCCTTTGTTCTGCTTCTTCAGCAAGCCTCTTCTGTTCTGCTGCTTCAGTTATTTTCTGTAGTTTGAGCCTCTTAGACTCTTCCTCACGTTCCTGGGACATTGAAAGCTTAGTCTATGATTTGTCCATTCCCGTACTATTACTAATTGCAACTCAAGGTAGATGTAAACAGAGACTTACCATTTCCAGAAGCTGACGTTCTTGGTCTTCCTTCCTTTTCTCGATGATTGATTTCCTAGCAAGAAGCCTTTTGTGTTCCTTATCAACAGTATCAGCTAAAGAAGGCAGAATTTCAGCTAGTTTTGACACTCCCTTAACTGGAAGGTACATCATAGACCTAGCCTTATTTAGAGACTTGGCAAGATTAGTCAGGTGGTCTCTAAGCCCATCAGATTCCAGACCCTGAAAAAGTTAGTGAGAAAACAGTCAGTCAGTGACTTGTACAGCTTGGAAAAATGATGAAAATACTGTCTGCAAGCTCAACTTACCGAGTTACCAAACAACATAACACCCTTCATATGGTCAACTTTCATAGCTATGAAGTTATGTTTAACAGCATCCACATAAATCTTCTCAACAGCAGAAAAGTCGTAAAATGGGATCATCTGAGATAGACATTCAATCTTCATTATCTGATACACTTGGGAGACCTGAAAATTGTAGACGGAAGAATCAACAACTATGTTAAAATTTATATGAACTCAGAGATCCTACTACAAATCATTGAAGATAACACACCTGCTGGAGCAACCTCAGAGTACCAAGCTTTTCAAGGGCAGGAACATATTGAGACAGTTGCACTTCTGGAACAGAAGATGCTGAAGACAGCTTACCCCCAAGTTTTGAGATTTTGGTCAACAATGGTTGCATCTTTATAGCAAGATCTAGGGGTAGGAATTCATGCTCCACGAGATGGTAAAGATCTTTAACTTCCTGGGTTGCACAGCTCAACACACCCTTTGAGACCTGGAAATGAAACCGAAATCAGATCATATTACTTGCAACTTAACAAAAGACAAAATATTCTATGGTGGACAAAACATACACATTTAGAAAACATTTGAAACATGAAAAAAAAAATTATTTCCCTTATGGTCTGCAACTAAATATTCCCAAATATCACTTTATGAGCAAATCTCAACAGCTATTAAAATTTGAAATGACAAAAAAAACACTACTGAGTACTGTGTACCAATAAGTAATACCACATAAGGAAATGATATCACAGCGAGGCATATATGACAAAATAAAAGCCAACTTTCATCCACAGTACCAAAAAGATAAAATCTCAACATGATACATAATTGTCATGGTCTGAAAATCACGCAACATTACGAAGAAGCATTGGCTTTATTACTAAGAAAAGTTTTTGCTAACGTTCCTCAGAAGAAGAAGGAACTCAAGCTCAATTGACCATGTAAATAACGATAACACAGCAAACTTACCAATTCTGAGAGAAGAGCTGATCTTGACAGCTGCACACAAAACAGATGGTCAGAAAGGAGAACTGAAAAAATGGAATCATAAGAAAAACACTGGAAAATGACAATACCACATCTCCTCTGTCAACTCTTGGTTCAAGATTAAACCCGATGAGATTAGCCATTCTCAAATTGCGTTCTTTCTCATTTTCAAGTTCCAAATGCGATGCAGCACGTGTTTGATCATAGGGTGGAACTGATAGTGCAGCCAAAACTACAGATGATGCTATCAGTTGCAAATCCTTCTGGCTAAGGTTCTTGTTAAAGTTCTTTTGCAGTGTAAAAAGCTTGAACCATGCATAAGCATGATTAAGATGGCTAGCTGAAATCCAAAAGATCTCTGTCAATTTGGCATAATAAACCACCATCAAGGACGCTTTAGGTGTTTTCTTGACCATGCACATCAAGCCATGAATATCTTCAACGGAACGAAACGCTTCCTGCAGACACATTCATGAAAAACCTATTGTGAGAAATAAACAGGACTTTCAAGCAGATAGAAAAAAATTTCAATTTGTTCACAGAATCCACGCATAATAAAAACTTTAAAAACAATTTAGACACCTGCCACAGTTCAAGCTCGGTGGCCATCTTCAACTGCTCAAATCTCGTGTCCAAATACAGCTGCAAACTCTCAGGTGCAGACAGGTCAGGTCGGTCCCTTTGATCTCTATATTTGTTCAGATTCGCAAGATGGTTCCTGATGATTTCACATAACCTACGAAACTCTGTCGTTCTCTTATATTGTTTGCAGAACTGGAATGCTCGATGTGCCGTCATCTAAAGATTAAAGATTGCAATAAGACTCCATATTTTCTTTCATGTACCAGAAATATTAAGTATTACAATACTATTTAACACAAACAACAAAAGTAGATCATGATAAAAAATAAAAAAAATACATAGCACCATTATGTGGAAAGATTGAAAAGAAATACCACTCATCTTTCTGTAACAAAACATAGCTAGAACAAAATCCAGGTATAATGCAAAACTATAAAGTGTATCCTTCCAACTCCACTGGTAATTGACATTAGTATTTTGAAAGAACTATGAAGTGTTAAACAAGTTTAAGTAAACATCAGCAGGATTTTACTACTGATTGATTGAATTCCCTTAGTTTCGTCCTTCGAAGCAAGAACAAGGTTTCAACAAAAATTTAGCTAAATCTCAACCAATTAACCTTGGAGAACACCCAATAATCCAGAAATTAATATTTGATTACTGAGTTGATTTCAGTACTAGAACCTTGGAGAAATTCAATATGCCACAACCGCATTTTCAGTAACCGAGTGGTTTTAACAGCTAGAATCCGTGCAACTTATGGGTGATATATTTTAAGGCGCAGAACAACCAAAATAATGGTATCAAAAGTTTGTTCTGGACAAGAAACAAATTACCGCGTAAAGAGCTTCCAACTTTGAGTTATTTCGCAAGATCTCCAGTACTGTCCTGTACGTTTCCCACAGAAACTTGAACCAGGGAGTAACAACTTCACGATCAGACCTATCTTTTCCTTTCTCACCACTGACATAGCTCAGCATCAGATCTTCTGGCCTTTTATCAGCTTCAAGGTCGTCGACATCAAGTGCTTCTTCAAGGGCTTCGGCCTGAGTACGTGCCTGCTCGGCTTTCTCAGTAGATAGATGCATGAAATGCTTAATAACTTCTTCCAGAGAACTAACATTAACTTGCTGGCATATAATACGGTATTGGATGAGACCATCTTTGGCGAATCTACCCTTGCGCAATTCAACACAAAGCTCTACATATTTGAACATGATCTTTTCAAGTGGTTTTTGCCAAGCTCTGTATCTCTTTGAAGTGATAAGATCATGAAGCGACTGTAATGCATCTTGCTTCTGCCCAACATTGATCAACTCTGCATCCACACATTATAATTGTCAACTAAGATATACAGGGCATTGCTGAAGCCAGATAATTGATCCACAAAAAATTGATATCCCAATCACTATCATAAACCAACATACAGTAGCAAACCACTCGTGTGTTCTAAAGAAGCTCTGTCATTGACATCATGATTTAACCAAATTTATTCATTTACTAATTTACCATAATATAGTGAAACAGTAACATGCTGACAATAAATGGTTAGGACAATTCAGTAACAAAAATTATAAAACTAACGAATCAAACATTCATATTAGCTAATAGGCCATAATCAGCCATATCTCACCTTCCGCTCGCTTCAATGCATTCTCCGGTTTTGCAAAATTCGCCATGTTGAATTCAAAACTCCAGCCGCCTCACACAATGCAACAGTGACCTGAACCACAAAATTCCATCTTGTCAATATTGAACTTTACCCACAAATCATCGAAATCAAATCAGTCTGCGTAGAACACCAATCAATCACACAATTCAAAAACATATGCAGATACTGTGTTATTTTAGGGCACACTTCAACGTTTCATCCCAAAAAAAAAAATGCAAAAATTGGCAAATCAGAATCGTTTCGGGGAATAAATTTTCTGACTTTTCCTGAATCCAAGTCCGAGAAATACATGGCGTCCGAGATTTCACGAAATCACATAAAAAAATCAAATCTTTCTGAGGGATTCATCGTGAAATTTATATATCGCGAAAAAAAGGGAGAATCTTCGTACAGATTCGGTTGCTACCAGCTGCAATTACGAACAGAAGAAGGTTTCCGATTGGAAACGAAGTTGGAGATAGAGAGATAGAGAGAGAGAGAGTACCTGAAGTGGCCGCAATTGTATGCACAGAGAGAGGAGCGAGAGAGGGGGAGAGGAGAGAGAGAGAAGGGGAGAGAGATAGTGTTAGGGTTTTAGGTTTGTCGCTGTCCAATTCGAGATTGGTTGTAGTCAGATTGGGCCATCTGTGGATATGGTGGGTTAAGTGAATGCTGGGTGGCTCATTATTATATTGAGCTGGGCTTTCGTATAGACATACACGCAATTCCTCTTGGAGTTTGGATTTTTATAGGAGCAACTTCCTTATTTAGAAGGGATTTTATAACAAGGAAAACTAAATTATTCGCTTGACCTGTTTTATGTATTCCGTTTGACAACCTTTAAGTTAAGGCTTTATTTCTAATTACGTTGGAATTTGATTGTGAGTCCATTTTGTCATTTGAAATTCAAAAGTAGTCATTTTATTTTTGGAAACTCAAATTTTCACTCCATATTAGATGTCACGCTCCTATATCTTTCTAATCCTCCATCTCTCCCCATCTCCCTCTTCCCATAAACGAAATTCAAATCCCTCATCTACCATGGCCCGTTTGACACCTCTACTACGTCCACGAATTGTTCTAAAAGAATTTTAAAAAATCAAACTCAGGGATTGTTTATGTTATTTTTTCAATTAAAAATATAAGAAATAACGAAATTAATGGAACTAATGATAAGGTAGCTGAAGATTGAGGGAGAAGGAATAACAAAAACAAGTCAAAGTGGAAATGAGTATTGAGTTTGAAAGAGTAAAGTGGTGACTTTTAAGTTTTAAAAGGCAAAGTGGAATCGAAATCAAGTTCCAGGTAACGTAGCTAAAAAACTTATTCTGAAGCTGTATATTTTTTTAATCCACATCAGCATATTGACGGTTTTTTGACGCAAATAACATAAAACGCGGCAATGCAGAGCGAATTTTAAGTTTCAATAAGTAAAATGATGACTCTTGAATCTCAATAAATAAAGTGAAATCAAAATCGAGTTTCGAATAGCACGTTGAAATTAATCCCATTACTGGTGCAAGGAGCTAAACCGCGCCCGCTCACGTGTATGAAAGAAATCAAAAAAAGAAAATCACAACGTCTCCGCCCACGTCTCCCAACTGCTCTCCACTTTTCAAATAAACTTTCATTCGATTCAACTCAACCTATTTTCTCGGACGCCACGAAAAATGCTGCATAAAAATGGATATTTTGGCAATTAGCACAGACAAAGCATTCATTCGCCATTTTGATTTGCAGATGGAGAAAAACATGAACGAAATCACAAAAAACAGTAGTTTCAGAGGTCTTGATATTTCTATGGACCGGAATAAAATTCCACAAAACCCCCCGTTATCGTACTTTATTACCATCTCCATCCCTCAGCCGAAAATAAGGATCAAGGTCCCCAAGTTGCTACTCAAAACCATGCAGAAACGGTTTCGCTATGGATCCAACGTTAACGACGCCGACGGAGGCAATGAGCACAGGCAGCATTGCGCGAAAACGAAGAAGGAAGTGAGGAAGAAGCCCGGAAAGGTTCTGACAACGAAGATCCGTTCGGTGTTTGTCAATGCGTTCGGCAGCATGAGGATCAAGTCACCAGATGGCGGAAGCTTAACGAAAAGCAAAACCAAGAGAAACAGAGTGGTTGGGGAACATGGAAGTTCTGGCAACTTGAATCGGGCTCCATCGAAACTAATTGTAACCGATGGCCGGAAGTCGAGTACGGGAAGGTCCCTAGGGAGGATGTTAAGCAGGGAGTTTGATGAGGGAGATGATTCAAAGCAAGAAGAAAGAGTAGGGGCGGAGTTGTGCAAGAAGAGGATTCTCATGGGAGGCAAGTGCAAGCCACTGAGTTTATCTGGGACTCTTCAGTACGACGAAAATGGCATTTTGGTAACTGAGTTCATCCCATGATTTCTGTTGGTGAATATTTTGATTTCAAATCCCTTGTATTTATGTTAAATGGAAGAATTTAGCATTATTTTCTTAAGTTTTTCGACGGGTAAGAGACGTACATGCAACCGGGACAGGGCGACAGAATTCCACCTTGACGTCCGGTTGCATATCTACTGCAAACAGTAAGGCTCATAAAAGACACAAGCAAAGTATGTACAATCGTTAAATCATCTCTCTATACGAACTTGGGTGCCAATTAATGGATATACAGCAGATACTGAAAGGACTGGCAGTAGAAAGTCTAGATGTAATACGACAGTGCAGACACATTAACATGAACTAGTCGCCAAGATTATCGCTACTTCAGGGGTTTCAACCCAAGAGATGCTCGGAGTCTGTTTGCTTCAGCAATCTCTGGATCCGGATGGTCTGTGCCATCATCCTTCTTCTCCTTCTTCTTTTCTTTCTTCTTCTTCGGCTCCTCACGATCAGGTCTTCTGGGACTAATGCTGCGGGCGTGTCTCTTGTGATCTCTATCCCCACCATCACGATCTCTACTGCGACTTCTGCTCCTTGAACGGCTCCTCCTCCTGCCACGATCCCTTTCTCGCCTGTCCCGATCCCTTTCCCGATCCCTATCCCTATCACGACCATAATCCTTTTCATCTCTTAGCCGATAATGGTCCCGATCCCTATCCCTGTCTCTGTCCCTATCTCTATCACGCCCACGTCCACGTTCCCTGTCATAGTCTCTATCTCTATCATAGTCTCTGTCATAATCTCGGTCCCTGTTTAAGGTAAGGAAAGAAACAGAAATGACAGTGTCAGCTTATAAATGACAGTTCCAATCCTTTAAGAAGGGAAAGGATACGCAGCAGAATTCAACATCTACAAATGAAAGGACATCACTAAAGCATAGGTGACACAAATCACAACCGTGGCCTTCAATTAACTACGTCGTAGAATTAAATCCGAAAGAGCTTATGATTCTTTCATCGGGATCGATCACAGCCAATACATAGTAAATTATACTCTAACGCCAGACAAAAAAAGAAAAGCAAGCAAATGTACGATCCATCATACTTCTCACTGCACACTGTCAGTGCAGAGAAATCATGGATATCACTGTAGGAAGCCATTATATAACACCTATGGCCTAAAATGCTATGGTAGAAACCTCAATGACATGAATGTACTAGTCTGAATTTGTATACACAGGCAACAGCTTCCACTACAAAAGTAATACAATCACAAGGTAAAACTTCAAACTCTAATGAATTTCTCACAATAAGAACAAGAATGATTCACCCAAAGAGAGACGAAACCGCAGAAAAGCAAGTCAGTTGAAGTTCACCCAGACTCTCATTTACGAAACAAGAATAAAATCAGTTTTAACTTGCTTATTTTGTTTTCTAAGAATTTTCTTACGCCTGTCATTCTGTTACTTTTTGTACTCTGTTTACAACAAAACTTTACTTACCCTAAAATTAAAAATAAATTCAGTTCATTCCAAAATCCTAAAATAATCTCCATTCACCACAAAGAATAAGAAGCTAAACAATCTGACATTCTCAAAGCTACCAACCAATATGATATGCTCAAAGCTGTCAGCCAATCTAGCATCCACATAAACCACAAACAGGAAAAAAAAACAAACCTGTATCTGTGACTGTCTCGTCTTCTATCCCTTTCCCTTTCCCTGGCAGGGCTTCGGCCATGATAATAATCCCTATCATGGACATCTTCATCCATTCCATCAACTTGATCATTCTCCTCTTTCTCTTCCTCCTCCTCAAAGTCCTCCTCCAAAGCACTTTTCCTGAGTTCCAATGAACCAGTTGCTTCAAGAGTCCATCTGTACGTATATAGAAAGGAATCACATATACAAATCCAAAGTTCAAAATAAAGATTGGCGGGGCATGTAACTGTCTATAGCTAAAACAAAATAAAGGAACCAAAACAGACCACTATGATAAAATCAACTTTGAAAAAATTATTCCAAAAACAAACCTTTTTTTAATTCGTGGCATTGCAATGTCACATGAGTAATCCTTTGTGAGAAGTTCATCAATAACCTCATCCACATGCGTCAACGTAAAATCTGGAACAATTAGAGCAAGAGATTAGTCATACTTGTGTTAGCATGCTCATAAATATTCAATAGTAAGTACGGTAGCATAGACTAGTCATAAAAAGTAATCAAGGAAAATTTCAGATAAGGATCATATATCTTACTCCCATCGGGCAGTTTCCTCCTCAACTTCCGATAGTCATTATACAAAGGCTCTAGGTACTGGTAGACATCAGTATCAGTTCCCGTAAGCCGCAAATAAAATGCACCGAGTATCCGGACGTACCTGAAACCCAAGTAAAAAAACGTTAAATCACATTTAAAAGAAGAACTCGAAAAACGCCCACATTGAAAATAAATAAATATTCAGAATTAAGAATCATAAAGGCTACTTCAAACCAAAAACAATCTCCACCATACTACACAAACTTGCACTACTATCTAAATCATTTCTGTTCAAACCTTCCTAAACCAAAATTCACAAAGAAAAAACACCAATTTGTACTACTGTATGACATATTAACAAGAAGACCCGATTACTTGCCGCCTTCTTCCTTTACCTTCACCTAACACAGCAGAGAATATTAAATCACTCCTGCATTTTTACATAAAGAAACTAGGGTTATTCATTTCATACTCCAATGTACCCAAACCACCACAAATACCCGATTTCAACTCATGTTCTCTAATATTATACTAATCATACAAAAACCAGAAGAAAAAAAAAATCAACCGTTGATATCCGCATCCGAAAGAAATCAATGTTGAAAACACAATTTTAGCATTACGGTTTCTCAGAAAAAGACCACAAATCCCAAATTCTCAGCCCCGTTTAACTCTATTACACTCCCAGCTACCAGAACATGCACATTGCCAATCATATACGCATATCCATAACAAATTAAAACAATTTATAACACGCAATTAATTAATGAGACGGTGAAACGCACTTGTAATCGTCATTTTTGATGAACTCGATAACGATCTCCTTCTCCGGCTGGATCTGAAGCATCTTCATGACGAGGCATATGAAAGGCGTGGGCTTCCGGTTACCGCCGAAGGTGCCGCCGATGTGGTCGAGCTCCATGGCTTTGTCGACTAGGGTTTCGGCCGTCAACCCGAAGCACTGCTCCTTCCAGTACGTGTTCTGGTATATCTTCGTCCGTACGATCTTCTCCACCAGGTTCTGCGGGTTCGTCCCCCTTATGCTCTTCGCCGACGGGTCCGTACGGTTCGCCATAGCTGGAAGACGGAGAAATTTAAGTGGAGGAGACTGAGGATATTTGGGGCAGACAAGGACAGATAAACCCTAACCCTACCCCTAAAATTAATGTGTGAGAGAGAAATATGGTTGCCGTTGGCGTACGGTGCCTTTGGATATTAACAGGAATTGTCCCCGCCAGGTTTAAAAACGAAGTGTCGTGCTTTTCCAAAAAAGAAAAAGAATTGTGGAAAGCGTGTACTTAAAAGCACCGCCACCAAAGAATTTTTAATGTGATAAAATCACGGCCGATACTTAAAATGTCATAATACTAATGATTACATACTTACAAAAATATTCAACCGTCTATATTATCACATTACATATTCAAAATTTTATTTCTTACAAGTGTCCATATCCAATAATCAGAATATAAGGTACCGTTTGGTACGTGGAACGGGACGAAATAAAGTAGGACAAAACGTTTCGTCCCACGTTTGGTGCGCCTAAAATGGGTGGAACGAGCTGTTCCACGAGACGAGTTTTAGGTGAATTTTCGTTCCACCTCACCCCCTGGAACGACTCGTTCCACATCCGTGGAACACAAAATTATAACCTCTCCGTCTCCTTCTTCTTCCTCCTTGTTTCCATCCGAGGACATCTTTGCTCCCGCTCCGTTCCGTCATGTCCCGTCCCGTCCCATTTCGTTCCGTCCCGTCTGCATACCAAACGATACCTAAGGTAGCGTTTGGTACGTAGACGGGACGGGACGGAACAGATGTTCTGTGTTATGTTTGGTACGCGCAGGACGGAACAAGACGGTTGTTCCGTCCTGCGTTTGGTAGCACATGGACGGAACGGAACCAAAAGATTAAAATGACTAAAATACCCATGTTTCGCTGTTGTTTGGTACAATTTTATGGGCGGAACGGGACATGACTCTTTTTTTTTTTTTTTTTTTTAAGTTGTTCAAATTTGAACACTATTATCCATTATTTGTTTTTCTTGGTCCAAATTTTAATAGGTATATATTGTGTTTCACATGCAAACCCCTTTAAAATTTGTAATTTTTCCCGTTTTCTACACCTCAATTCGAATTTTCACCACAAACCCATCAAATTTTATTGTGCAAATTGCAAAACCCACACCCCAATTCAATTTTTAGTCCCTAATTTTGGTCCTTTCAATTGTGGGTTGTTGTTTAGGGAGTTTAGGTTCTACAAACATTAGAATTGGCCTTGTTTAGAAGGACACCCATCTAAATATTCCCCATTGCAGGAACAAGGCAAACCACATAAGAGCACATGACAAATGTTGAAAAATATATAAGTTTAATGATCATGCATATCGTAAACATTTTAGGGTTTAAACATTTAGAACTTAAACAAAGAAAATGAAATATGCATAACTTAAACATGAAATATCCGAAATCAAACATTCGTCCTGACTTAAAAAACAAATAATGTCTTGCTAAAGTAATAATGAAAACACTTAGAAGTTGATAAAGTTCCCCATACTAAAACCACAAATACTAAAACACTTAGAAGTTGATAAAGTTCCCCATACTAAAACCACAAATACTAAAACCTCAAAGGCTCTCCATAAACACTTTAATGAAATCTGGCTTCTGTGAGTCATCCAAGGTGGTCCAAATACCCATCAGATCGGTATCTTTCACTAACTCACAGATAAATAACGATCTTGGGCTGATTTAGAATCACGATTCGTAATATTAGTCTTCAGACCTGTAAGCGACCAACAATCTGTCAGAGCAATACCATTTTGTTTTTCCAATAATCCACATGAGATCAAACCCAAACATGTCAAAAAAATTTGTGCCTTTCAACACAGTCAACACATGGATTAGTCCATTGACATTTAGAATGAACCATTGTTCTTTACCACATGGCTGCAATTTTTATATACAAACATTAGTCTTCTAATACAAATTTTCAAGATTGTCTGCGTGTTCACCAAAAACACAAAGGCTTCCAAACATTTGATCTAAACCTAGCACTAAAACGTCATGAAATTATATTTAACCACATAAGCCAGCTTTATGTCATCCTTCTAAATTCATAATAATACCAATTCAGAAATTGAATTACTCCAGAATGCCAAAGAACCTTAAATTTCCTCTAAATCAAGCAATATAAGAAATAAAATTACATTTCCAAAATCTATAAATTTAATGGATTAAACAGTAAATATACTAAATGGGACTTCAGCCATCGAAACTAAATCAAGAACAATGCCTAATCTCTGTTCTTTCACAAAAAGACAAAATTACCAAGATTGATAATTATATACTGTTAAAGTTAACTAAGTAACCAACAGAGATAAGAGTAAAAATATAAACATAAACTGAAAAAGTTAGTGATTACTTGTGATCCATCCCAGAGCTGACCCCAGTAAACACTTCCAAATCCCCCCTCTCCAAGTTTGTTGTCATAATTAAAATTGTTTGTTGCTGCGTGCAGTTCCTTCAAGGAAAAGACCCTCCATGTTGGCTGCTTCTTTCCTCGTCCTTTTCTGCGCATCAGATTTCCATCAAATCAAATTGAATGGGAGATATATACCAAATTAGGTGTTTTAGTGAATCAATATTCTTCAAAGCAAACAACCAACTGCTCTAAGCAGATGTATAATAGCAGAAAGCCTGCTCTACTACTAATAAATGAACCAAAATCAACCCAAAATCCATAGCAAAGAGGCCAGCTAATAAAAGCCTGCTCTACTGCTCTACTACTCGATACCCTTCTCTTGGTTGCTGGAGAAAATGAAATAAAAAGATGCATTGACTGCTAAATGATTGTCAGTGGCCAAGTCATTAGAAACAGGACAGAACAAAAAACCAAGCATAGTCAATCCCTAGATGCCTGTTTGTAATATTTTTTACTGGGTTGTTAAGATCCCACTCAACACTAATTCTTTACCCTGTCCTTTTCCTTTTCATTCGAAACCGACAATTCGACATTTGAATTAATAAACTCCCCTTTCCTTCTCTGTTGATCTTAGCTAAACCCAGAATGCAAATCCTCCATTCAAATCGCAAACCCATAAAAATATTAAAATCTGAGAGAAACCCATAACCTAAAATCACCTCAACTTTCATTGTATCATCCAAATAACCCTATCACAAGATTTTCTCCAAATTAGAATCGACTACTAATTAAATAATAAAACAATTTTCTTAAAGCAAACCAACCAACATAAATAATCAAAACCAAAATTATCTAATTCAGCTGGGAAATAAACTACGAATCCATAAATCCAATAATTACCAATCCATATTTATTGTAAACAGAAATAGTTTACAAATGAAATCAGGCACTTATTAATACTGTAACTAACAAACAAATCTTGATTTTGTGATCACCAATTCAAACATTCAAGTTACCCAAAAATACAGAGGGGAGAGAGAGAGAGAGAGAGAGAGAGAGAGAGAGAGAGAGAGAGAGATACCTGAGGACCACCAAGTTCGCAGAGCTGCTACACGGAAGAGGACGAGGAGGAAGGTTGCGAAGGGGACGAGGAGGAAGGTTGCGAAGGGGACGAGGAGGAAGGTTGCGAGGCTGCACAGAAGAAGATGAGCAGGAAGGTTGCGAAGGGGAAAGGGATGCAGAGGTGAAGAGAAACGGCTGAGAAGAAGAGATTTTGTTTTTAGGGTTTGTTAACTGATTTTGAAGTTGTAAATTTTGCAAAAGACCAAGGGCATTTTTGTCTAAAAATATTGGAAATTTCTGTTCCACAGACGTGGAACAACCCGTTCCAGGGTGGGGGTGTGGAACAAAAAATCATCCAAAATCTGTTCCGTGGAACAGCGCGTTTCACTCATTTTAGGCGCACCAAACGCGGGACGGAACGCCTCGTCCCACTCTGTTTCGTCCCGTCCCGCGTACCAAACGCGACCTAAATGAACTCGAATTTTGGATTACACCGATCCAATCCAAATCTGATTCGTTTACTGTCTAATCAGAACCAAACGTAGGGATTCTTTTGGAAAACAATCAAACACATAAACCCTTTACATGGGTACAAATAACAACAAAACCTTATCCCACCAAATGAGATCGGTTGTATGAATCCTAGAACGTCATTACATCCAGTTTTACATCAAGTCTTCTGTTTGCTCAAAATACCTTGTCTTTTCTTAAAGTCTCGTGAAGTCCCTTTGAAGTAACATAACATCATCTTAATTACCAAAATAAGCAAACATGACATAAAAATTGTCACTTTCGAGCTGACTACTTGACTACAACTAAATGCTACACAAAATGTCCACAATACCTTTGATAAGGGACAAAAGAGCAACTTAACCTAAGTTCTGTAATCTGTACTCGTAAATTACAGCCAAAGACATGTGCCAAGAACTCGAAGCTACTCTCGTCTTTGCTTTTGATCGAGCGCGTGGTTGCTGGTGGTAGACGACGATGTTCTTCCATTAGGTATTCCGTTCTCAACAGGTGGAGACGAACCCCACTTTCCTTCTGATTCGTTGGGTTCAATAACTTTAACAGAACCATCGCCCAACCCAACAGCGAACTGGGTTGGTTCTTGTGGATGCACTGCAACGACCAGCGGGTACATGGCTTGGCTTCTACAATGCAGTACGCCACACGATTAATTAATAATGACTGAATCAAGAACTAATAATAACAATCTTGAATGTTCGTGGTGAGTTTTTGACAGCTTACCCGTTCAAGACCACTTGTGGTAAGTATGCTGATGGAGCAATACGGCATCTGAGTCTTAGGCTATCGGCATCAAACACCCCAATGTTACCGTCACAAAAGGCGGCATATATTAGTTGGCTGTTGCAGGAGTATGCTGCATGAGATATTGGTGCAGGAAGTGGATCTTGTGGAAGCCACTGAAATGGAAGAACAAAGTCAGAGTAAGCTAATCTGTGATCAGCCCTTGTTTATGTCAAACATTCGAGAGAATTTACTACCTGTTGGATGCGATCCATCTTTGAGGCATCATATATTGCTAGTTGTGTCTCGTGAACCACCAGCAAGTGAATTTGATCGGAATGGAACTGCACTCGAGTCTCACCAACAGTTGCCTTTGCAGAAACCATATGAATTGCAACCGATTTCCGCTTCTCCCATGTATCAATGCTCCACACACACAGCTGCAGGATGCAGTTAAAAGTATACTTTAAATATGGAAAGGGCAAAACCATCAAGCATGGCAAAGGATCGTTCAGCCTTTTATCAAAGTAGGCACATAAGAAACCAATTCATTTAGCAGGTAGATTAGAACGAAACACGTGGGGTCAACATATGCACAAATATCATGCACTAGAATACTGTACTTTTTACACACGTACGCTTCACTATTTTTCATTTCAAATATGACATTTGTAACAGTTTGCATAACAAAAATTCTCCGTGGTTAAACGAGATAAACAAGATAAAAAAGAGCCCAAATTTCACTTACTTGAGCATCAGCACCGGACGAAACGAGTATATTAAGATTGGTTGAGAAAGCTAAACCAGTTATCCGCTTTTGGTGACTCTTCAATTTTGATTTCACCTAAAATCAACAGAAATCATGTAGGTCTTTAGCAATGCAACATAAGAATTAAAATCTTTGTGGTGAGAAAGAAAATAAGACTATGTAGAAAACAGAAGCAATTACCTCATCAACTCGAACATTGTAAATATGGATGGTAGAATCTTCCATTCCGATGGCAAGGATGTTATTATCTTGAGGATGGAATGCTAGGAAAGTGGAAGCAGGAGGAGGCGCCATGAATGTTGTCATTACCTACAAAGCAAACAAAATCACGGGGAACCATAAAAAAAGAATCCCAATTTTTAAAAAATTAGCTAGACATGCATGTAAAAATTTACCTTGAATGTCATCATGTTGAATAACGAGACCTTTCCGCCACAAGCTGACATTACATAAGAGTCATTCTTTGAGAGCGCTATGCATGGAATTGCTTCTTCAAGGTTGACGCCTGCGACATCGTTAGCCATAAGAAGACCACTGTTTGGCTGCCAATGCAGCGGAGCAACACTGGCAGTGGCCTTTAAACACACAAACTCAGAAGATTGCATTTACAAGAAATAAAAAATAAAAAAAATGATTGAAACTTTTCTAGGTTAGTTGTTACCTTTCCAGTTGGATTTTGTTCATTACGGACCCACTTCCACAGCTTCTGCACACCATGTGACCCAAGTGCCAAAATGCCAGCACCCGAGTTTGTATATAGGAGTCGAACGACCTAAATTGAAATGCATTGGTTTAAGAATCTCATGGCAAATAAACATCTCAATACAATATCAAGAGCGTGAAGTACATAACAAACCTTGCTAGAAGTATCAGTTGTGTCAGGCATGGTAACTAGCCGGCACTGTATAGGATCCTGAATTTCAGTCAACAGCCAGGGTTTAGGTTTATCCACTGCATCCTCTACGCTTCTCAGTTTGTCGAAACTTCTACTGAGGTGATCAACTCCAAGCTTGAAAGAGAGCCAAAGAAATCAAATCAACGCAACGCCACTTTAGGAAAAAGAAAAAGAAGATATTTACAAAAGATCGACTGACATACAATAATTGGAGTAGACCTAGCAGGAGAGCTCCTTTCCACTTTACAATTGACCGCATTTGCATTTGTAACAGAAGCCGAGCCGGATGCCTGAGACAAATAAAAAGGTTCTCAAAGATGTAAATGAAGAAAAAATTGGTAAACAAATTCACAAAAAGCAGATTAAAGAAATTATTGAAACCTTGATAGCAGTGGATTCAATGGGAGGCCTTAATCCCTCAAACAATGTGGTGGACTCGATAGCTTTCAAAGTTTTAACTCCAGCAGCATTTACAAGTATTTTGAATCCGTTGTCTGCAGTTGTGACAGCAAGAAGATTTCCTTCCTTGTTGAATCTCAAGCGAGGGAGGCTCTGAAACATATAATATGATAACATCATGCTCTAGTTCGACAGCCAGGGGAGTTTTCACGATAAATGAGAAGTTATAACAATATACTCACCGGAAGTCCACCCCCAGCATCTATGGTAGTCATAACATTGTTATTGTCCATATCCCAAAACTTTATCTGGCTATCTTCACCGACAGCCAAAAAATGATTTTGTGTTGTGTCGAACTGCACAACACCTGCTGATTTCTTCCTGAGTCCAGAATATGTTCTCTTTATTGCTCCTTCACTTTCATTCCATTCAACTAGATACGAGTCTCCCTCTTTACTTGTTCCACAAGAGAACAATCTGAAGGATAATTGGAAATGATGGAACTCGCATAAGTTTTGATAAGACATTTCAACTATGATGTAAAAACTCTTACGTTCAAATAACACGGAGTAAATTGTTTTACTAAATATTCAGTTTGTAAAGGTCCATCTTTAAAAATTTTACATACCGACTTCCGTCTGCACTGTAAAGCATTGTGGTACACGACTGGCTAGGAGCATCATAGTCAACTCTTGAACCCAAGTTGTCGTACAGCCAGGCCTTTATTTTCCCATCAGTAGCAGTTGAAAATATGAACTGAAAATTCAACGAACACCAATTACTGCACATGGTAATGAACAGAAGACAACAAGGTCGCAGGGTAGTTGACCACACGTTCAAAAGAAGTTTCAAACAAATCGCCTCAACCAATAAATCTAAGTAATTAGTTGTTTCAGATAAGCAAAAGGCTAAAACTTCAGTAAATCAGAAAAATCATTTGAATTTAAGATAACTTGCTCGAAAGATTTGCTTCCCAAAAAACTAGCAAGAAATTGATTAAGCGCACAAAAGCATTCCATGTTTCGCAAACATACCTGAATGTTCTCCTTGTAATGAGGACAGATCGAATAGACGGGAGCATCATGACCTTCAAAGTTATATAGCTTTCGTCCGGTTAAATCCCATACCTGTTTCACTTCATTTAGATAAAGTGGAAACTTTGCATACAAAAACAAATATTATGATGAGAACTCTAATTCTACCTTTATTATCTTATCATCTCCACAGGTCACAACACAGAGTTGTTTATTTGGATGAGCAAATGCTAAGTCGTTCACAGCACCGTTATGGGCCTCAACCTGCGAAAAATAAGGGATGCAATTTGAACAGCTGTCACAAGTTTAGCCTTCTTGATCAATTTGAAAAATTATCGTCATATGACCTCACCTCCAAATGTTGGCGTAGATCATTAGGTCCAGTATAAACGTATAAGTGAATCAAATGTTTGGTAAATGCAACCCCTACAGCAGAAAAGAAAAAAGAAAAAAAAACAATAAGATACACAAACAAAAATTCAAGAAATATTTGCAAACTTCGAAATGTACATACCCACAAAACTCCCATCTTGACTCCATGTCACACGGCTGACAGATACGGGTATGTCCTTGCCAACAGTGGCCTGCATAAAAACTAAATTGTTACTATAGCCGCATTTCAAATCCCCAAACACTACACAAACGTATAGGCAAAACCCAAAACTGCTTCCGTAAAATTGCTTTATTTAACACCAGACCATATAAACTTCATAGCAAGCAAAATTTTAACATGAAAAAAAAATGAACAGAACATAAACATGACCTGAAATTGCAGTGAACATTTTGTTATATCCCATATCTTGAACGGCTTTGAAACCAACCTCTCCCGCGACATAAGTTCCCAAAGAGTAATGTCGCCATTATTAGAACCAACTGCCAGACATGCAGTGCAGAAGACTTAGAAGAGAATGCAGACAGCCCAGGGGCGAGGCAACGTATTAAATAGGAGCTTATTTATAATACTAATCAAACTTTAAAAGCCAAACAAGATGAGAAAAAGTCAAACCTAGCAACAACGTATGGAGAGCCGGGTGAAAATCCATGCTTGTGACAGTAGATCCTTGATGCAAGTTAAAAGCCACTGTTCTGGGTAGATCATCCAGTGACCAAGAAGTTTGTTGTCTAGACGTTGGATATGCAACCTATATGTAAATCAGTGACAAGATTACTGCAAACAGAAGGGGAAAAAAAAAAAGGCAACACCAGATATTCCAAAATTAGATATGAAACAGAATATTGCCTAGATTACCTCCTCAATAGATTGAACAGGTCGTAGTCGTTTCATAAGTTCATGATCAGCACTCTGATGATCAACCATACTTGGAGCAGCTGGAGGTGTTCTTGGACGTTTCAAGATTGCAACGCCTTAAATTCAAAAATAGAACGTTCCGACATAGATATGCTAGGAAATAAGTAAATTTGCAGAATGGAAACCATACTCAAAAAGATGAATTCCTTTGATCATGAAATCAATTGAATATTACTATAACCCGTACTGTAACATTAGACCTAGAATTGCTAAGAGTTTCCAATTTGGCTAGCCACGTAAAACTTGAAAGTTGTCGAAAGTTCATTCCACAATATGTGCAACACAGAACTCGAATAACATTGCAGGGAACATCAACATCACACATATATCCTTTTTCCTTATAGTTCTTTTCTTTCCCAACTGGAAACAAAAGAGATATTATATTAAAAAAAAATCCAAGTGAAGTTCTTACCTTGGTTCTGTGGAATGGGCATGGATGATGCATTAACAACAGCTGCTTGCACAGATGAAGAGACTGAGGAATTGGCCATCCAACCTGCTAAAGCATTAGAATTCACAGCGGCTGCACCGACCGAAAAGGGCTATACAAAGAAGACAGTTATTAGTCCGCACTTTTATATCCCTAAATTATAATCAAGGTGGCGAAGAAAAAAAAATATCAATGCTTATAAAATGTAAAATATCATACAGCATGAGGTCCGAGTGAAGGATAAGCAGTGGGTTTTGCAACTGCGGCAACTGGAGGAGTAACAGGTGTAGGAGTAGAAGTATGAGGGCCATTTGGAGCTGTACATGTATGATCAGTAAATAAAGTTTTGATGTCCGGATTTACTCTTGGATTTTTGCATAACTGGTGCTGCCAGTTCAAACTACATGAAAGTATCAGATACCAGACAAATATCAGCTTGGCACAATAACCCGAACAATAATGACAACTTTACAATACGAAAGTTTTAAAAGAACTTCATTAGCCCTCCAAACCCTTACCAGGGTCCCAGACTGCTATACGACCCAAAAGTACAAAAGGCCTCTACTAGCGTATGATTTTCTTTCCCTTTGGAAAGAAGAAAGAAAACATGAAAAAACACAAATGTTATTGATTGCCAGTTGGGCACAATTTCAAAATAAAACCAGCTTCAGTCATTCAATCGTCGTTCATAAAGGTGACACAAGTGCTAGAAGCAACCTGTGCTTGAACGAAATGAATCAATTAGAATATAATCGATAAATAAGACTTTATTTGAAACGTTCAAACCAAAGAAAAAAACACTGAAAAGCTGAAGCACAAGCAAAGGAAGTCAAAGCTTAGCTAATTTACGGAGATAGGGGAGGGGCAGAAATCTCTATTTCAAAATGTATAAAAATGTTTAAAACACCTATGAGAGGAAAGACAAGGGGGAATCCAGGTTTTTTCATCCAAGAATATCACTCTGACCTTTGATTGATTAGAGTCCGCAGTCTTGATGCCTTCAGAGCGGGAAACACAAGCTTATCACGAAAGAGGGGATTTGCTTCTATAAGTTTCTTAAGCTCTATCAACATAATGCTGCGAGCCGTTTTGGTGTCCCCATACTTGGAAAGCTGTTCATTTTCCCTGGTAGTTATTTCCAAAGAAAGAGATTAGTTACATACATGTACCGTAAATTAGGAGTTCTAGAGTATCATAGAAAAACAAGCAATCCCATATAGCCGTACATTTTCTCTTTCCTTTTTTTTTTCTGCTAAATTTACGACATATGGCTGAGGAATTTGAACTTAGATCATTATAGAACAGGTCCAACAACCAATTGGCTACACTCTGGCCACCCTAATTCTAGATCTCAATTGTCAAGAATACGCATTGCATCTCCTTTAAAGTAAAATTTCAACTACAAGATGGCCCACTCAGTTGATGACAATACATCAAAGACGTAAAAGAACTCACTCCTCGATAAATTCTTGTCTTATATGCTAATTTGGCTTTGTCGTAATAAAAACCGACATTAAACAAATATATGCAAGAAACTACCTGAAATTTCCAAGAGTTAGAAGCTGTGTGATTTCTTTGAAAAGTTCTTCATTAAATGTGGAGAACACTCTCAAATCATTAACTAAGATTTCAACAGCCTTCGGCTTTTCTTGCCTACACAAACAGAAAAACAAAACATAAGATTACTCTTCCCCTTCCGGAAAATGATATTTCCAAAAAGCAAAGAAATACTAACAACAATAGTAGACTTAAGGATTACCGATCAAGTGCTTCCAGATATTTCTGCTTCCTTATTTCGAAAAATATCTTCATAGAGTATCTGTTGTCATCAACTTTTGTAAATCCTGATAAGTACTTCTCCACTTCGTCCCATTCTCCGGCCTGAATTTTCTCTTCAAAGTACTTCATGTTGAAAAAGAATCCTGATTCTTTCTCAAGCCTACAACGTAAAGGTGTCAACTTTTATTTTTTTATGAAATTTACAAACAACAAAATAGAACAATTTGGGGAGCAAAAAAGAAAATAAATGTTGAAACGATATCTTTAGCTAAAAATCAATCACACATGGAAATCATTTGAAATTTTTGTCAAACAAGTGACTTCTGAATCTTGCCTTAGTTTTCTACTATCCTATTGTTTGTTTACGTTAGATCTCGTTATCATTATTTACCAAACTAAATCCCAATTAAAACAAGACGCTTGCTTGACCAAGCTTAATAAACCAACTTAGATGAATTTCTCTATCATTATTGTTTGTTGTATATTCCTATCTTCATCTTCCATCTCTTCTTTACTTTCTCAATTTCTCTCACACTACAACCTCATTTATTAGTCAATGAATTCAGATTTCAAATAGAGACAGAGGCCACGTTATTGACTCTAATTTTCACTAATCAACTAAGCTTAAATGCTACTATTTTGCTCAAACTAAGCAAAATGTACCTCTCTCTCTCCCCCGGGAAATGCTAAGGAGACTCTCAATGGCCTATCTGCCACCTCATGTTTTTGGCACAATGTTTTATAATGTTGGCACGGAAATTATCATTAAACTGAGAGGTGGCAGAGAGTCCGTGTAGAGTCTCCTTAGCATTTCTCCTCTCCCCCTCCCCCCACCCAACGCAATTTTCCGCGCAAGTCGCCACCAAAACAACGCAATTTAAAACCGACCACAAGGGACTTTACACATGTATATCCTTCCATCTCTCAAAATTCATACCAATAACGCGTGTAAAAGCCTCAATTAAGCCAAAAACCGGCATTAATTGTCCATTTTTCACAACAAAACCGGCATAATCAACGCCAAGCCAGCAAACACGACTCACTTTCGTAAAAAAATTCAAGATTAAAAACAACAAAATCGAATACGAAAAGACATAAACTCCATCAATCAAAACCACACAATCAGCACGTAAATCCAAAACCAAAACCGGCCTCAAAAGTAACGGGTTTCCGTTATTAAACCGTACACACACGTGCACACGTGTACAAATATTATATATGCAAGTACAAGAGGATTTGGGAAAGCTTTCAGCTCACCTGTGTACGGACTCCTTGAACTTCTCCTCTTCCAGAAATTGGAGTATCAGAAACACCAATTCTCTGCTCAAAGACGACATTTTTCGATCCTCAAACCCTCAGCCCCCAGAAATCCCTCTCTTCTTCCCGAACAAAAACCAGACCTCTCAACTTTCACTACACAAACAGACACAGATTAACGTCAAAATTAACACGCTCGAGCTCCGAATCCGAGCTCAGAGAAACCTCCAAATCCCAGAAACCATCGATATTTCTGAGGATGTTGTACCTCGCGCTTCGAGGACTTCTAGGGTTTTGAAGACCGCACAGATAGAGAGAGAGAGAGGGGGGGGGAGAAAGAGAACGCGATGGATTTATAGAAGTCTCGCTGCGTTCGATGCAGGAGTCTTTCCCTTTCTACTGACCTATCACTGATAAGCATAACTACTTATCGATAAGCAGTCTCACTTATTTACGTACGTTTTTTAAGTTATCGTGCGTGTGGGAATGAGATGTCGCGGATTCGAAATCAAAATACAAAACCAAGTTGAATGTTCGGTACTCACGTCCATTCGAGCACCATGCCTTTACTTTTCGTACTTTCGCTTTCGAGGGTGGGGGCATTAATTAGGGGAGTTTAATGAATGGAAGCGACTGTCTTTCTGTCACCGATATATCGGGAGATAATCGTGAGACGATATGAGCGGGGCTTTTGGATAAGAAGGCAGATTCTCTGTTCTCTTACTTTCCGTGATATTCTGTTTTGTGTAATCACAGTTAAGTTATATTAATATTTTATATTATTTTTTTATAGAGATAATAAAACAAAAATGAATAGTAATATAAAATGTTAACATGATTTAACTGTGATCACACAAACAGAAGAGCACAGAAAGCACAAGAAGTAAAAGAGCAAAGAATCTACCTCCTTTGGATAAGGTTTGTTTGTTGGGACTCAGCAGGCATGAATGGACGAGGTTGCTTACCTCGCGCGAGTTTTTATCGAACTCGTGGCTCGCCTCGATATCTTACAATTGCTGTCGTAAACTGTTATTGCCTGTGGTCCTGTCGGCGCGACTCGTCGCATCTAATTTCTTTGGGCCACGCAACCCGAACCAGGCCTAATCAACAAATGGGTTGGGCTTCTGTTGCTAGCCCAATAGCACGATAGCGTAGTTTCGTCCTTTGTAGGGGTTGTAATTTTCAAGTCTTGTCCTTGAAGCTTTTAGAAAATTCGTCGAAATAGTTGTCTCGAGGCCTTTGTGGGAGCAGAGACTACCTACTAAACAGCAAACAATGCGACATTTGATAGTCGTTTTTTATAACGAAAAACTAATAAAAATGGTTTGAAAATTTTGAGTTTTAATCAAAATAATAAAAATATATTATGAGTGAATAGTATCAAGAGTGACTTTTTGGAGTAAAAATATCATTTTTTATTAAAATAAACAGTACGGAAATATTTCGTTAAAACTCCTTTTTTAATAAATAACATCTTTTTGCGATAAAAAAAATTATGGATGGGGTTGCAGCGCAATAAAAAGTGATTATGAAAAATACCTGTCAAAACAGTTGTCTCGAGTTAACATCTTTGGGACACTGCCCACTCGCTAGCAAACGATACGGCCTTTGATCGTCGTTTTTGTAAAAATAACAACGTTTATTCGCCATAAAAAAAGTGATTATGTATAATATTTGTACCGTCGTAATGAGAACCTTACAATACGAAATCCACAAGAGATGCAAAGTTGATTAAGTTGGTAAGGATCATTCTCTTCGCTAAATCAAGGTTTACGTTTGAGTCTGATTAACTCCCTCTTAGTGGTCGATAAACCAAAAAAATGTCTAAGGTTCTCTATGTAAGTCCTCAAAGAAACTTATGGTATGCCTTGATCCTGAAATAAGTAGTCTACCCTGGTCTTGAGATGTGTAGCCTCCCCTCCCCCTAAACTTTTTGTTTAAAGAACAAGTGTTTCATATGCTTGTATCTTAAAAAATTTAGGAATTTAGGACTAAGTTGATGGAAACACCGATAACTGTTGGATTGAAACTTGAACCAAGATCTTTTGGTTGCGGAATTTCCTAAATAAAAGACCAATAAAAATTCAAAGGTACAAGATGAACAAGGAGAAGGAGCAAAGATTCTGCGTTTTTTATTTTGGGGTGGCAACACTAATAGGGTGCACTTGCTGGGATTCAGAGAGAGGGGAAGTAGAGTGAAAGAAGAGGCAAATGGCAGAAATGTCGTCCATCGCTATTCCCCTCCTCTTCCGCTTCCATGCTTGCGCAGCGCACTCCACCAGACGCCTTGCAGCCTTCGCCCTGTCTGCCGTGGAACCTACAATCTGCACGGCTTCTTGATTCGAAACGACATCCCAAACCTACAAGCAAAAATATCAAAAATGTCTTTAGAGTCCGCGAGAAATGGCTCTCTAGAAAATACTTATGTTCATAAGCGCTTTTGCTAAAAACACATCGAAACTTCATTAAACGTTCAAGTGCTTCGTGCAGAAAGTGCTTTTACGACCTCAAATTACTGTTGAAAACAATGCAGTACATACCCCATCAGTTGCCAACACAACAAACTGATCTTTCCTTGTTATATTTCTATGTGACACTTCAGGCACAGAAATGAGACCAAAGTCCTTCAAACAGTAATCTCCAAAGGCTCTGGACATGGCTAGTCCGGGTGTTTCCCCGTCCGGCTGCCATACCCTTTGCACTCCAGGCTCATCATCTAAACAAAAAACCTGCCCATTGCTTTGAATTATTCGCTCCGCCTCCTCTGCAAACAAAACCATTAAAAACATGTAAATATGTGTAACCATATGTTATCTTCTTCAGTTTTATGTGTTGGGAGAGGGATAGAGACTGACGAGGTAAACTAGGCTTGAAATCGACAGTAAGCTGAACCGGCATCAAGCTTCCATCGTCTAAAGTTGTAGCCAAAACAGCCCGAGAGTCGCCAACATTGGCTATGAAAATAAGCTCACCCTAAACAAACAAAATTCGGAGATACTTTCGTGTCAATGCCGATGAAAACTGCATAAGGTCATTAGTTTATACTTGATTTTTTTGGTAAACATCCAGCTACAATTGCAAGCCTAACAACAATTTGAACTAGTTCAAGTGAAAATGAATCAATACCTGTCTGACAATACTCAGGGCAGTTGTTCCACTGTAAAAGGAATCGATCCTACGATGCTGTTCGAGCTCGTGATCAATGGCAGCACAAGTTTTGATATAGGAATCCTTCCATATGTTAAACCGGTGATGCTTTTTATCCGACTCCAAGTCGGAATCCGGGCCAATAGAAGTTTGACCTAGTGTCTCTTGCCAACTGCACAACAAAGAGGGTGGCATTGTTTCTCTTATCTGTTTCGCCACGAAATGTCCCCATGGACCGTGCCCGTCAAAAATCCCACAAAACATCATGTCTTCTTGGCACCCAAATTCCTAAAACCAAAACAAATGTCAATATTTCAGAGACGGACTGTGGAACTACTTGCTTATATATCGTAGTCTATTTTATCAAGTTTTCGTCACGCGATGCGTATAAGTTTGTTTTGTATTTAATTTCCAATGAGTACTAATTTAAGGTAAGAAAAATGCACAACATTTGCTTACCTCCCACACAATGCAGCAATCCTGGTTGACTCCTTTCTCGCCTCTCTTCGAAAAAACAGAAGCAAAGTTATTTGAACCATCGACATTGACAATCCCCGAAGAGCGTAGGATCATGTCATTCTTCTTCGCCTCCTTCGCCATCGCTTCTGCAGCTCCTCTTGCACCTGAATCCCCACCATTGTTCTTCCCTTTCTTGAACAATAGGGATCGCGCCAATCCGCTGAACATGGAGGATAAGTGCCCCATTAGCTATGTCTTTGCTTAGCTATTCCAATTCCGGATTTTCCAGGTTGTAGATTCAACAAAATCTGAACAATATTGAACATTTATAAACAATTAAACATCATTTTAGGCAAGAAAATGCTTGACCTATTTGTTTTTTTTGAACTTTTTTAACATTCTTCTTAGAAAAATGCAGAAGTTTTAAGCAAGTTGAATTGAACAACTTGACCTGAGTGAGAGTACTGTCACTGGCAAAAAGGCATTCTCTGACTCAGAAAGGCAATTCTTTCATTAAAAGAGCAAAAGTTCATAACATACGTGTATGGTAATTACAAGAAGGAAGACTTTGAATGCGGTTTTAGTTATGAAGACTTTGAATGCGGTTTTAGTTATGAATATTTTTTTACTGAAATCTTGTTGGTTTTCAATTTTTTATCAAAGTTCTTGAAATGAATATGATAATTTATTTCTATGTATGTTACTATATTTTTTAAATTAAAAATTGAAATTTATAGTTTATATTAATGAGATTTTAAATAAAAACCATAATTTGTGGGATTAAAAATAGGGTACATTATACATATAACAAATTAGTATATTTAAGAATGAGTAATTTTTAAGATTAAAATTTTGAAAAAAATTACATGAATGGGTACATATAAGATTAAAAAATTAAAAACATTTTTTAAAAAAACTAATGGGTACAAACTTATTCTAATTTTTTTATGTATTTTGGAAATATTTTGAATTGAAAATTAGTTAGGAGTTTAATAAAGGTGCGCGTATTAAAATTCTAAATCAATTATTAATTTTTATTTTGAAAAATTATATAACCGACATGTAAATTCATTATTACAACATTAATGTTAAGTACTTAGATCAAAATTTGAAAACTAATAAAATTTCAGTGAACATTAGGAACTAGTAACTAGGGACGGATACTAATTTGTCCTTAGATCTATACTAAATGGGGAAATAAACAAGTAAATTATTCTCCTTTCCTTCACTTTCTTCGCTTCCATAAACTAAAAGCTCTGCCGTTTGAACCCCCTAACCCTTGCCTACAAAAGTTACTGCAACCTAAAGAAACCCAGATGAGACTTGATTAAGAGAGGATTAAAATAAAAAAGTTGGGTTTTAAACTTTCTCAGTTACCAAACAAAACCCAGAAAGGAACATTCATAAAGGAAGCAAAAAACAATTCAATTTGAGCTTCTAAGCTACCCCAAAAACAAAACTTTTCATTTTCTCAGCAACCAAACAAAAGGCTCCAGTAAGGGAAGAAAAAAACAACCGAAGTAGACAAAGAGATCAAAACCTTGATATCAACTCCAGCAAAATTTGACCAGAAAATTTCAGAAGCTAGAAAGCTGGAAACTTGACGAAGTTGCTGGAAAGCTGGTAATCCGACCGGATCCCGGCGTAATCCCTACGAACCCAGCTGAAAACTTGAGGAACTGAAATTGGAGACCGATGAGAATCCATAACACCCAGTCTCTCTCTCTTCCTCTTAGTTTTGTGTTCGTGTTTTTGTTTGGCAATGGTGGAAGTGAAGTGATATATATTTATCTGAGGAGGAGAAGATAACAAAGCTTGCTGTGCATACAAACAACACACTATTTCTCAACGCAAACTCTACGAGACTACGTCATGAAACCAAAAGGGTTTTTGCTTTTTCAACTTACAAAGCTATTTTATTTTATTTTTCCTTCCACTTATATAGGCAACTTATGTTTAAGTTTCAGAGAGGGACCGGCTTCTTTGCGCTCTCAGTTTTCTTACTCTCATCCCCTCTTATTTTATACGATAACGGTTAAGCTACGTTAACGTTTGATATTAATTTTTTTATAGAGATAATAAGACAAAAAATAATAATGATATAAAATGTTGATAAATAAAAAATGATGAGAGTGTATGAGAAATGAAGGGCAGAAAAGAGAAGCCAGGTCATTCATAGAGACGGTCACAGTGCATCCATTTGATATAAGATACGATTTGTTTCGTGAGATGGTCGATGAGGTATTTTTTTTTATTTTTTCAACAACTTGTGTTGCAAATACAGAGAAATTATATGCTGTATAAAAAATGCTTGAATGATCTTCATAGATATTTGGCCTTCTGTATATTACGTTGTACACATGTGATGTGCATGTAGACGGTCAACAATTTGTAGCTAAAAAATTTTCTAGATATTTGTGGAAGGCCTAACAGTTCAATATTTTTTAGCAGCCAAAACAAAACCAAGAAGAACGAGAAAGATGTTTTATTTTCCAGTTAGGAAATTAGTACACCGAGTTAGGTTATGTGTGTTGACTCCTTTGCTTACCGTTTCTGAGTTGCTTCCCTCTTTCTGCGGATGAAAATTTTTTGGGTGTGACGGTTATACTAGAATATGGTAGTATTAATTTACATTATGTGCCATAATTTGATGGCTGACTTAGTTAATACACCCCATGCGCCTTGGAGAGTGTATGCTTACTTGGACTCAAGTTTGAATTATTTTTTCGCATCATTCATATTAGATTAAAGTATCGTTCGAATAAAAATAATGTGACTAATAAATAAATGCACATGTTATATTTTACGTCAATTTGTAATGTCACGTAGAACTATGGCGGGTCACAAAAAAATCACCTTATATATTGATAAAATTTGAAAATTGTTATTAACCCTCTAAAAATTTAATGTGCACTCTAAATTTTTAATATTTAGAAAGAAAAATAATCTCATAAGAGAGGTCAAATTAGATTTTCAGAATGTAAATAGTAATTCCCTTGTCTTTTTATATACAAATGATATTTAGAATAAAAATTTGAAACAAAACCTCATATGCAAATAATTACGAGCTCCTTGCATGTTAATTAAATATAATATAAAAACGACAATTATGTCTCATTCATAAACTATTATATGCTTGCTTTATATATAATATTATGTCTAGTACATGAAATAATTGAAAAGAAATGATAAGGGGACTATCTCAAAAGTAAAAAGTTACATGAACTCTTTATTACCTCATGTTTATAGCACAATATTTTATAATGTTGATCTAGAAAAACGACATTAAATTGTGAGGTAACAGAAATTCAACTTTACGAAGAATTACTCTTTTGAGATAATCCCCCAACATTCCTCCTAATTAATAATTGTTTGTTGTATAAATAAAAATTAGATTTAAAATAAATTAATGGACTGTCCCAAACATGCCTGCCATTAAATAACCACACAAAAATTAAAACCAACGGTCGATGCTAATTTTATAGCATGTAATTTGTTGATCATCTCTATCAATCAAGAGTGGTCTACCGTATATATGACTGTCTCTTTGCCAGTTGCAGCCATGGACGAGTGCAATGTATTAAAATAAAAGTTTAGTAAACCATCATAATCATTTGGTTATTTATTAATTCTACAAAAATTAACATAGTTAGGTGTGCATCGAAAATAATAATTGTATTAGCTCAAGATATAAGAAATTAACTAATTAAGCTGATGAACACGTAATGTCCATTTTTAAGTTTATGTTCTGTAAGTTTAAAAGTGTTCAGTAAAATTATTCCGCCGTGAGATCGTCAACTAAATTTTTTTAATTCCTTGAAAATCATTGACAATCACATAAATTAGAATTCTTAAATAATTCAGAGGCTGAATGTTACCTAAAATAAAGGAACTGATTGTTAAGTTTGCTATGATCATTTAGGGAGAATTGTATTGAGATTTATATGGCCGAGTTTTTTTTTTTTTTTTTTCCATGTGGTATACTTTTGTAGATTTCGTAGGTTTTTATTGATTATTAGAAACTTTATGAAATTGACAAACTTTTTAATGTAGACGTATACAATTTTTTTTATAGAGTTAATGATAGAATTTGTAGAATTCAAAAGGAATTTAACAGACTTTTGAAATAACCATATATATATATATATATATTTTTTTTTTTTTTGGTTATTGAGAAAACAATTAGGAGTAAAAAAGGCTACCCTTATGTAATGTGGTGTTGTGGTGATAAAGAACTGGGGGTTTAGGTGGTGATGGGCAAGACGGGTGTAAAGGTTGCGATCATGATGTTGGTAGTGTCAGTACGTAGTGGTCATGGGTGGGGTGGCGGCAATAGGAGGTTATGGTCACAATGACCGTTACAAGTTGGTGGTAATATAGGTAATGGTGGGAGTGGTGGTGGCGGGCAAGGTAATACGGTGGTACTATAGGTGGCGATTATGTTGGTCACGTCGATGGCGACATAAAAATTCATATACTCTCTTTTTTTTCTTATATACATTCGGTTAACTTATGTTTTTTAATTTTTTTTTTAATTCATTAAATTTAACGATAAAAAATTAAAATGTGTGAAATTAAAAAGAAATATATAAATAATTTTTACAACAGAACCTCTATTTAAATTTATTCTCGAGCACCACCCTATTTTTTAAGTTAGGTAAAAACAAGCACAAACTTCCACAGAAAACAAACAGACTTACTAAAATGCGAAAGCAAAGCACTCAATCATAGGGCTTACCAAAAGGAAGAAAAAGTTGCACAAAAGTAAAGTAATAGCTCCACGTACTCATCCAAATCCACAAAATCTATGAGATGAAATCTATCAATGTCCCATAAAGTTAGAGAGTAAGAGACCCGTTTCAATGTAACAAGAACAACTGTCCTGTTGGACCTCGAAGAAAGTTGAAGAAACGCCATTTCAGAGGGTCCTACTGACTTCCTCCCATAATATTATGCTCATTTGAACATGCATGTTAGTTTCTATCTGTCAATCATCTTCGCTTTCCTCTCAAATGGGGTATTAGTTTTGGAGAATGATTCTCTATCCTCCTAATCTTTTTGTCTTTCTATGTTATTCTATTTGAACGGTTACGGTTAAATAATGTTAATATTTTATATTGATTTTTACATAAATAATAAGACAAAAAGTAATATGTAAGAAGAAGAAATGGAAGGGGATGAGAATATGAGAGTAGTGAATCTTCCTCCATTAGGTTTTCCATACCATTGTTGGTCCATGGAGATTTATATGGTTGTGGATTAATCTCTATATTATATAGTAGGCAAGGAAATTATTGGTGAATATATGGTGACAACAACTTTTTACCGTATGAAGTTGGGTAAGTGGTTCAGATCTGCAATCTGTCACACCAGAGGACCGTAGGGAGACTCTTACCGGCACATCTCGACTCTTACAGGCACTAGATCTAGATGTGCATTTCATGTTTACTATTTCTCCCTTGCGTATGCGAGGAAATTCTTCAATGTTGCTATGGAGTGTTATATTTCATTACGTTATTACTTGACGTGATGAGATTCTTAAATGTAGTCATAGGATATTCTTCTAGTGATGTTTCTTTTATCACGTGACTTTCATCTCCTCTGACTACCGAGATAGTTCATATTATTAATGATGCAGCAGCAATAGTTTATTAATTGGCAGCTCATGCGTATTGGAAGTCTAGAGCTTAATTAAGTTTGAAATATTGTCACATAGGAAGTTGTCAAGTTATTTTCGGAGTTGTAAAGGTTTCATATAAACTTGAGGTTTATTAATTTGTAAACTAATATAAATACTGTACTAGAAAGTTTTAAATAGCAAAAACTTGTTTAATTAAAAAAATTATATATTTGTTTGGAGCAATTAAAGTAAGTGAGTGTTTCTTACTTTTAAAATCAACCGTTTAATTTAATCATATTGAGTAACTCCACGATTACGAGCGTCGGGCGAAATCCGTTGCCGATAATTAAATGTTTTTCGGATGATAATCCCTCATCTTCGAGACTCGGTTCTCCAAGTGAGTTCCTCATCTTTGGCCTTACGAGATCATGTATTAATTCTTGGTCCTCGCATGATATTGTTTATTGCGCAGAATACTATATGCATGATGAGAAATAACATATATGCACCCCCAATTGTAGAATCAAATCACACGTAAGATGACTACTAGGGTCTAGGGGATGGGATGTTCTCAAGACTTTGTGGCATAATCCAACCTGTTCATGATGTTGTAGTGATTTGATCCTGCATATTTTTCAACTAATAATCGTATGTCTATGACACTTGAATGAGGATATTTTCTTAAGTCGACGCGGAAGCCAAATATCATTAGATCAACTAATCAGCAACTTCTAATTTTTCATTTTAAACAGTACTCTTTATTAAATAAAATTCAAGGAGGTTTTAAAGCTTATCTAATTCTAAACGAAATCCGAACTTGAGCATATTCTTACCAAAATAATGAATTGAATTATAGAAATGCTAAATAAACTCTCTAAGAAATAAGAGTCTTATATAATCTTCGTCATCTCGCAGTTTAATATTAATTTCTGTGCCGATATTATAAAATATTATACTAAAAATATGAAATAACAAAGAATTTATAAAAATTTTACTTTTAAAAGAATCACCTTAGTATTTCTTGTTGAATTATCGGTTGAGGAAAAAAGAAGACAAACGAGTACTGATACCGACAGGCATGCATGAGACACGAGTCTAACTCTGCTGCTTTTTCACACGTGATACCTTTGAACAAACTTATCCTGTGCTCCGCACCGCCATCACACATGAGGTCGGTGCAAAGGAGCAACGATTACGTAGGGTCCAGCACAGCGTGAATTCCGACAAGATGCCACGTAAGAGCCAACAATCGGGTGTGGGGCGGTGCCTGGATGGCAACATGCGATGGCAAAGTTTCCGGCGAAAACGTTAAAGTAGGTGAAGGACTTGGGCCATGCTAGGACCTACGAACAAAGTTCATTAGAATTTATGGGCCCAATTAACAATTTTTTGTTTTCCTTGAATTATGAAGTGATCATTGTCGCTATGCTTTTGCCCTTTTACCGTTCAGGATTTCAATTTTCACTGTTAAATTGGTTGGGTGTGGGAGGGTAATTTGGTCTTTCAATTAAATTTGCAAATAAAAAACAAAGAAATGATTTACGCACCTTTATCTTTTCTGGAAACCACAGTTTATTTATGACATTTAGATTGGATGATCAAAAGACACAAGAGATGCAGAAGAAGAAAAACGTGCATGACAATCATTTCCCTTAAAAAGAAGGAAAATGTGTATGAGACTTTATCAAAAGTGGGAATTTCCACAAACACTATGTCACCTCATATTTTTTGCACAATATTTTATAATGTCAACACTGAAATTAACGTTAAACTATGAGGTGTTACTGGAGTAGGATTCTCTCATTTTCTATCCCCATCCCCTTCCTCTCACACTTTGCTTTTTGTCTTTTTGTCCTTATAAAAAATCAATATAAAATGTTGACATAGCTCAATCATAATTGTTCAAGTAGGAGGGGAGGGATGGGGAGAGAAATTAGGAGGGGAAATAATCCTCTTCTGGCAAAGAGTCCATGTAGAGTTCTACTTTGAGAGAATCTCCTTAGCCTTCTCTAAAAAGAATGTTTACAAAGACGAGAGAAACTTACCTATACATGGGGTGCAAATGTGGAGGTACTAAATACACTTAGTCAAGTATTTTAACTTTATGAAATGATAATGTATCATTAGCTTGAAATACTGCTACAATGACATATCAGCGTAGGTAAGTTCTTTTCAACAAATGCATAGGTATGGAGTGCGACACGAAGGGGACCAGGATAAATTTCAACCACATGAGCCTTTCCAAAAGAATAATTGCATTAAGTTGCTGGCTTCTTCAAATGGTTGGCCTGAAATTGTCTTATCAGTTGCAGAGACTGATGATATAGATTGAGGTCAATGCCGTCGACATTCCTTCCCACACGTGCCTGCAACACTGCCTGAGAAAAAAGAGTACGAACACTTGACCTTTCTTGCTTTCACATTCATGCGTGTGTGACCCGTGAAAAAGACCGGCACCAAAAAAATCAAGTGTGTGAATGTAAGTTACCACTTACCTCATTATCCGGTTGAATAAGCAGCTCGCCGATGAACTGGTAGATGGATCCAACTCGAAAGCTGAGCTCTCGGAGGTGCTGCGTGTTGATTTTTAACCTCTCACTTCCATGGGCGATTGTGGCAATGGCCGTCTCTACAGAGTAATCATGTAACCTACGAACGAAGCAAGGAATACTAATTCATAAGCTGTTTAATGAATTTGAATCTGTTTGATCTATTACCAACTGTTTTGGGTTGTATAAGTGACATTTTTCTAATTATTAAGCTCAGTCAGAGTCTAAAGTGTTTCTTAATGTCTACTTCGGGCACAACCAGAGATGCCAAATTTGCCCGAAGAAGATCATCTCGGACAGTTCTGCATCCACTCCAACACACTACCATCTTGATGATGATCTAAGTAAGTCAAAAGCAAACCACAATCGCTCCAACCAATATTGTCACAACACCGAAAATGCTGAAACTATCATATCTACATCGCCCTTACAATATAGTCCAGCTATGATGCCACAGCCGTCCCCAAGGAGAAACTCCCCTGCAACGGGGTGCATATCCCAATTTTCCTTTAGCTTGTGTGACATGGTACGTGATGAGAGATAAAGAAACACGGCAATAAAGACCCTGGGATAGGAAAGTTTCCGAAGACCAACCGAGCCAGCCTTTGCTATAAACTACTTGTACCCTAAACATGTGGAAGGGAAGAAGTCTTACCTTCCGGTTACTCGTAACGATGCTCCTTGCTTGAAATATGGGGAAGATGGATGCAAATCTTGCAATGTAACCAACGCCCCCGATGTTATCTCAGATGATGCCATCGACTAAACTCTCTAGCTTCAGAAAAGCATCCAAATCTCTCCTGCAATTTTGAGTAGTGAATAAAATCAATTACCAAAAATTACTAATGCAAGCATTTGAACAATAAGTTGGAACTTTTAGCAATTTTAACAACCTATCGAAAGAAGTAAAATTTGGAAAATTAAGAAAACCAATGGGGTTAAAGGAGCAGAAAGCATATATTTGCACTTCAAAGTTCAAAGTTCAAACCCACCACCCAATTCAAAATATACCCAATGTATCAAATAGGCTCTAATGTGTTTTTAGAGGAAAAATCATGAGGGCAAGAACAATTTAGCAGAAACCCCATCCCCCAGATTCACTATTCAAACTAAATGCAGATAAAAGATGACATCTTTCTCCTTCAATCCATTCACCCAATTCAAATCAGCATAAAACCCAGTTACAAAATGATACATATCAACAAATCAACCATACCCAGATACCCATATTAAAAAAAATAAAAAATAAAAAGATTCACACTTTAAGAAAATAGCAAAAGGGGGAGGGTTACCTCGCTCGCTTTCTGTGCGAGGAGGAGAAGAAGGAATAGAGGGAAAGAGATGATCGTTCGAATACTGGTAGTCTGGAAGTATCAGCAAAGATTCAAACTTTAGCAGCAGCAGGCCTCCAGCCTACCTCATCTATTTTATCTGGGCTTTTACGAAATCGAATCAGTCGGTTTCATTGGTCCTTTCTCAAGGAAAGTTATGCTTTCATTTGGGCTGGAATAACATCATGCCCAAGTGGACCAAATTCAAATTTTTTTTTTTTTCCCAAAATAATATAATCTCCGTATAAATATTTTTCACCCCCTTCACACGCTATTATCTCTAATGCACGAAAGTTGATTTTGTGAAATTCGTTATATTTATCATGAAAATAATTTTGCTGATGATTTGACTCTTTAGATTTGTCATGCAGTTTGGGTCCAGTCTCTTTTTAGCAAGCTATTTCTTCATACAATTTGAATGAAGTGAGGATGAGTGACCACATAACCATGGTGACATAGGATTTGATGATAACACCACCTATTATGTATATTTTGCTAAAATGGTACTTCATATCCTTAAAGTCAAATACTTGAGAATTGGTATGAAGAAAAGATATAAAATTTGCTACATTCCAAATGAACAAGTGTTGTTTAGTTAGAAAGTCAAAAATTGAAAGGAAAAGTGTCTCGCATACGACTGTTGATGAATAGTTAATCTCGCCTAATTGTCTTTATAAAATAAAAAATTTAAATTTAAAAAAAAAAGTAGTTTGTAGAGGTGTCCAAATGCCCATGAATATTGGGGAGGAGCTTAACTTTCTCTTTATCTTCCTCTTGAGGTGGTTGACAGCTGAGGAAGAAAGAAGAAGTTAAAGCATTTTGTGACTTGTGATGTAAACCAATCAATATCAAGGCACTAACCAATGCACGCCCATGCCCTGGTATGATATCACCACTTACTATTAATTCTTGAGTGACACTTCATCTCTTTTTCAATGCTATGCTCACGATAACGTATAATCGCCACACTACTAAAATGAAGATAAAATTTTCAATAAGACTGCTTGATTGTGCTAGTTCTCATACTGAATTGGACTAGCTACCTTGGTGTGGGGGTATGACCCTAACATTTTTATTCATGTGACTTTATACCAGGTTTTCTCTTACGACGATTCATCCACTTATGTTGAAAATATAGAATATGTATCCATTGTACTCTAGGTGTATGTGTTCGTCCAGACGTACTTCTATACAAGAGTAAACAATACCAAATACAATACGTGACCATCACATGAATTTACATTAATTGTCGTTAGATAAATTTACATCTTGAAATTTAATAGAAATAAAATAAATCACCCTCATACAATGACAATATTGTGGAGTGCCAAATGTTAATATTGAGTAATGTTATTCATATTATGTTTTTGTACCACATTTTCACATCACTTTAAGTAACATTTGATGTGGACAGCCACATCATTTAAATTAATCAAATTATTAAATTTAGTTCATTATTTAATAAACTAATAATTAAGAAAAACTAGTTAATTGAATGATGATTGTGGTATACGAAGAATCTTTCTCTTTCATTTCCTTATATTTTGTAAATTTTTCAAATGATTGTAGTATAAAAAAATTGATATGAATAACATTACTCAAGAACTAAAGTCAAGACAGACCCCTAATATTAATTAGTTCTTTGTATTAAATGCCCCTATCAAAAAGCTACCACCCATTAATTGCAGAACAAAAAGTATAGCTGTATAGATCATCCTCTTCTCCCTGCAACCATCTCTCAGAATTCGCAGATTCAAACTCTCCGTCAGAAATGGAAAACAACGTCAACATAAATTTAACTCCTTTTTAAGCAGTTTCTGATACGAAAAGATTCCAACTTTGAACACGCTCGTTCTGCATGGGAATTTCAAATTTCCATTCTTTGTAACCAACTGTCGGTCAAATTCACAGAGTCTTCGTTTCCGCACTCACGTCTGTGGTTCCTCGTCGTCCTACATAAACACGAGTAGAAAGCTCTTCTGGGTCGTGTGCAATATCGGGGAGCTAGCGAGAAATTAGTAACATGCCATACGAAACTGAAAAAACGAAGAGTTCAGCAGCGGCGGCGGCGGCAGGGCATGCTATGATCGAGATAGAAGCCGGAAAGCCGTCAAGAAACGGGGTTGTGGCCGGAGGGCTGAGCCCTCTGAGTGAGACTCTGTGGAGGGGGAGAAGACAAGTTTGGAGATTGTGGGAGATGTGTCTGCAAGGCTGACGTGGAAGGATCTGACGGTGATAGTGACTCTGAACAACGGCGAGACGCAGAAGGTGTTGGAGGGTTTGACTGGTTACGCTGAGCCTGGAACTTTCACGGCTCTCATGGGGCCTTCTGGTTCTGGGAAGTCTACTTTGCTTGATGCTCTGTCGAGTCGGTTGGCCGCCAATGCTTTTCTTTCTGGTACTATTCTGCTCAATGGCCGCAAACGGAAGCTCTCTTTTGGCACTGCTGTGAGTAGTAATCTCTTTCTCTCTTAATTTGAATGTTTTTTGTCTACTGAGTTGCTTTACGTTTGTTTGGGACTGTTTACGCAGGAAGCACTTCTGCTCATAAGCGCATTTGCTAAAAGTTCTCTTTTTAAAAAGTTAAAAACACCTTGAAATTAGTAGTTTATGTTTGATCAAGCTAGCTAGGAAGGCGTCTAGATGTGATGTATTCATGATGTTGTTTTTGTGGATGTTGGTGCAAATTTAAACAGGCCTATGTGACCCAAGATGACAATTTGATTGGAACTTTAACGGTGCGAGAGACGATTTCTTATTCGGCAAGACTAAGGCTGCCGGATAAGATGGCTTGGTCCGAAAAGCGGGCACTGGTTGAGAGTACAATCATAGAGATGGGACTGCAGGATTGCGCCGACACAGTTATTGGAAATTGGCATTTGCGTGGGATCAGTGGGGGAGAGAAGAGAAGGGTCAGCATTGCTCTTGAAATCTTGACGAGGCCTAGATTGCTCTTCCTAGATGAGCCAACAAGCGGACTTGATAGGTATATTTGTATGCCTTCATTTAACTGGTTTGAAGTGCTTTCAAATTATTGTGTTGTAGGGTTAAATCTTAATGATCAATTGGTTTTTTGTGGCAGTGCTTCGGCGTTTTTCGTGACTCAGACATTACGCGCCCTGGCACGAGACGGAAGGACTGTCATAGCCTCAATTCACCAGCCTAGTAGTGAAGTCTTTGAACTGTTTCATCAACTGTACTTGCTTTCTAGTGGCAAAACAGTCTATTTTGGTCAGGCGGCGGACGCATATGAGGCAAGAACCCTCAGTCTTTGCGTTATGAACATCTATTTGTTGATTTAATGTAAGTGTAACAGAGCTCTTACGAACGCATTGGTTGGTTTTTTCAGTTCTTTGCACAAGCCGGCTTTCCGTGCCCTGCTTTGAGGAACCCATCTGATCATTTTCTTAGATGCATAAACTCCGACTTCGACAAAGTAAAGGCCACACTGAAAGGGTCCATGAAACTCAGGGTACGCATAGTACTTTCTCTTTTCTACTTCTATGTTATGTAAGTTTAAATGTTCACAATTCGTAGCAATAGTTTCGGTCTTCTGATAAAATTCGAAATGTTTTGTTTGCTGTTATCAGTTTGAGGCAAGTGATGACCCGTTGGAGAAGATTACCACTGCTGAAGCTATAAGAGTTCTTATTGATTCCTATCGTTCTTCTCAATACTCGTACACAGCTAGAGAAAAAGTTGAGGAGATATCGAAAGTTGTAAGTGTTCATATAAACCGAGATTTTTAACCAGTTGATCATTAATCTGATTACTCTGACTGACGTTTTTTTTGCCATTTGCTGCAGAAAGGAACTGTGCTAGATTCTAAAGGAAGTCAGGCTAGTTTCTTTATGCAGGCCTTCCAATTGTCCAAGCGTTCGTTTATCAATATGTCAAGGGACTTTGGATACTACTGGCTCAGGCTCGTCATTTACATTGTCGTCACAGTTTGTATCAGAACCATCTATTTGAATGTGGGAACGGGTTACAGTTCGATTCTGGTATGTATTATTTGCAAGGTGGAACCATCTATTTGGAGTCCCAAGTTCATTCATGCACTAATACCTTCTCCTCGTTCATTCTGTGACAGGCACGGGGTTCGTGTGCATCTTTTGTCTTTGGTTTTGTCACTTTCAAGTCAATTGGTGGGGTTCCTTCTTTCGTAGAGGATATGAAGGTTTGCTCCCTAGACCCTCTACCGAATCACCCCACACGAAAAGACCCTAAATATTTACTTGAAGGTAATAATCTAACTTTTTACCACCTAATTTCCCAGGTTTTCCAAAGAGAGAGGCTGAATGGCCACTACGGCGTTACTGCATTTGTCATCAGCAACACGCTCTCTGCAATGCCATTCCTGATACTAATTACCTTTCTCGCCGGAACTGTTTGTTACTTCATGGTCCGGCTCCACCCGGGCTTTGAGCATCATCTCTTCTTTGTATTGTGCCTTTATGCAAGTGTCACCATCGTCGAGAGCTTGATGATGGCGATAGCCAGCGTCGTCCCCAACTTCCTCATGGGCATTATCATAGGGGCTGGAATTCAGGTTTGTAATAATTTCGAAGCATACGACTTAGAAGCTTGTGGAAATCGGCACTTTGTAACACTTTTCCTCTTCATGAACCATGTTTGATGAACTGTATGGTTTTCTTCACATGTCAGGGTATCTTCATGCTAGTCTCCCGGGACATCCCAAAACCCATCTGGCGTTACCCTATGTCATACATCAGCTTCCACTTCTGGGCTTTACAGGTAAAAAAATACAACATTTGTTTGATTTTTGAGTCGATGGGCCAAGGGCGCCACTAACTTGATAATTACCACCTGCTCAATTGGTCAGATGTGGAGTTCTGTCACAAAAGACCTCGGTATTAGTTAGAATGGGGTAATTGTAGAATTGATATCATATCTTTATTATTCAATCTGATTGCTTTATATACATCTTACACACGCACACACAATAAACTAATGTACAC